AGGAGACCGAGCCCAGCACCCGCTGGGACCACTCTCTTTAAGCAGCACCTGCAGACATTCCCCAGCCTCTGGGCCTCCATAAGGTTACACGTGAGTAATTGTCAGAGCGATCCATAGGGTGAGTTACTTAAATAGGAAGTCTATCCACTTCATGTTTGTGTCCAGGAGTCATTGTCTAGTAACGTTAATATATTGATCTATTCATGTGTCGTGCCATTGGGCTAACTAATAAATAGCTGTACTTAGAAGTGGTGTTTAGAAAATTTTCCCTAAGAATACATAGTAACAGTTATATAACTACTCGGCCACACTACCCAACTTTCCTCTCTTTACATCCTATAACTAAATACAGTAACTCTTACTTTATATTCCTACCCTGAGTTACCCTCATTATATAAGTAAAGTGTGAACTTCCCTGTCTAGAGAGATGGAGCGGACTGCTCGCTTCTGGACTGTGAGAGTGGTAGCAAGAGGGCATTGTTTAGTGAATCAGCTGACCCTGGCTCGACCTTCGAAAGGGATGCAAGCCAAGTTAGGTAGAGTCGTGAACAACATGGTGACTCACTTGGTGAATAACTTGATGAATAACTTAGTGTTTTTCATTTGGGTGTATATTTATATAAAGCAAAGGTGCTGTTACATGCTTGCACCTTAACACTAACATAATGCTGCCCCATTAGATGCATCACACCACCCTGTGTGCACACACAGACACATACATACATACATACATACATAATATAATGGATGCCCCTGAAAATCGAGGATGGCCAGCCCTAGGGCCACCTAGGCGTGAATTTTTTTAATGTGCGGAATCTGTCATCAACACAACAACCACACCCTAAGTTTACAAGTTGTATGACCCAGTGTCAAGGAACAGTCCGAGAAGACCGGACAACTAGCCAACTGCACTGGCAACCATTACCCCGGAACACGATCCGAAAATCGATTAACATCTAGGTCCCCAATTACTGCTGGGTAGATAGAGGCAAATGGCGTAATGAAACTTGCCCATAGTTTCACGCTGACCAGGGATCGAACCCGGGTCCGCTCGCTTGTAATGCGAGCATGATGACCATTACACAACAGGTCGCCTGATACATACATACATACATACATACATACAATTGTGGTTGGTTTGGGACCTTCACTCGGGCTGCCGGTGAGAGAGTCATACACTGTTCGGACTTCCAGGAAAGCAGATATACGTTTGTTAAACTTGGGAACCACTTACTCAAGTTTTGTATATCAATACTGCTCTAAGGATTAGAGGCCCAGGGGTCACCAAACTACGGCCCGCGGGCCGGATCCCAAGTCCTTCCCCGGCTCGTGGTAGCTCCGCCTAGGCTCTGACGTTACCAGAGCTTTCGTTCTGGCTTGCAAGTATTGAACAGAATGATTATGCGGCCCGCGCTCGTCATTCTTTCAGTTATCCGGCCCACTGTGAAAAAAGTTTGGTGACCCCTGGATGAGACTGTTGTGACTGTAGTTTTGTTTGAAAAGATGAACCTGGAACTTTGAATGTTCAATGTCCAGATTATGATATAACGTACTGTACACGAGTTTAGATTATATTAATTGATAATTTGTTTTGCAAAGTGGCACACTGACATTGTAATTCACAGTAAATTACCTTAATTCATTATGTGTAATGTTAAATCTTGAAATGTCACCCCTAACCCTCCTGAAGCAGTCAACGAACCTGCTCCATTTGTTGTTTGTTAACTATACTCCCTGAAATTTAAAAGTACTGTTATATTAAGTTAACCAATCCCATGTCTATATTCCATATTGTAATATACCTTTTAGCCATTAAACTATTAAAATGTTATGGCTTCACATGACCCTAAGCCAACGCTGCACTTAATTAATGAGGGTTTTATCGAATTTCAACTGAACCCATAAGCATTTTAATAGCTCTGTGTGCCATCTGCCCCTCATGTGCAACATTGCAATACATGGCATAATACATACATACATACATACATATATGGTGTGGGACTTGGCGGCAGACCGTCCCACTTAAAGATAAATATTTCTTGTAGTTTTTTGGAGTCCTGTTGTGATCAGCAAAGATGTCGGGACCGTCGTTAGTTGATGTCTACCGTGGTTCCACTTCTTCAATAAATGTGGGATGAGATATACACGACGGTTGTGTGAATATTTACAGTGTCTTATGTAGATCCAATTATATACAACTGTACAGAGAAGGCAGGCCCGGTGATCTAGGACTGAGATGGCCTCAGTGTTAGATGCTCTAGAACTGAGGAGGTCTCAGTGGTAGATGTGTGCTCTATGGGGTCCAGCAATAGACTGAAATCAGGCCCAGCAGGCGGCCACGCCCGAGGTGTAATCTTCACAGGCCCCGCCAGGGTGATCTATGAGTCATACCTTCTAGAAGGTTTTCCGTGGAGGAAACGCTGCAATGCATCACCTCCTCGAAATGTACTGCCGTTAACAAATCAGCAGAGTTGTGGTTAGGTTTAATAAATAACCGGTTGGAAATGACCACCTCGTTGACCCATAAATCATTCTTAACTGACGATGCCACTCTCTACATTTGCTAAATATATAACTACATCAAATACTTGGGAATAGAATAGCAAGTGTGAAGCAAAGTATCTAATTACCAAATATGAGCAATCAAGTCATTTTTTTTCAAAAACTCTCTACTTCCTCGGAAGGGGTTGAATCATACTGCAGAAATCTCGTAGTCATAACAGTCAGCCAGTCAGCATGTCTAAAAGCCGGCTGCTATGTCTACGTTAAGTGTTCGCCCCTATGAACAACCTCTAACCTCTGCTGTCAATGAATAATGAATGTTACATACATACATACTCCTGTACATATAATGGTTGCCTCTAGTGTAGCGAGGATGACCGGCCCAAAGGCCACCTAGGAGTGCATTTGTTTAAGGTGTAGAAGCTGTTGCTAGCACAACAACCACACCCTAAGTTAACGAGTTGCGTGACCCAGTACCAAGAAATAGTCCGAGAATACCGGACAACACACCAACTGTACTGGCTAATCATTATCCTGGAATACGATCCGCGATCTAATTAACATCCAGGTTCACAATTACTGCTGGGTAGGCAGAGGCAAAGGGCGTAAAGAAACTTGTCCATAGTTTCACCCTGCCCAGGAATCGAACCCTGGTCAGCTCGATTGCGAGGCGAGCATAATAACCATTACACCACAGGTCGCCATACATACATACATAAAGGCATTGATCGCTGGTTACGTTAAGACGAACTGAATAAGAATACTCAGTCACGCTTTGTAAAAAATAAATAGGATCACTCAGGGCAGGCAAGGTGGAAACTGGACTAACCGAGTTGAAAATATTTAATGAAAACCTAAATAGAAGAATAAGAGATACAAATTTGTTTATGCATCAATCATGTTAGATTTTTTTTGTATATCATGGAAACTAGAAATTAACAAAACATTTATTTGTCTCAATATAACAGAAGAAAGGCCATAATACATAATAAATAATTATACATCAATTATACATGATAATTAAAGCTTAGTACATGCTTGTGATTGACTCGTGTAAATACTGGTAAACTAGGACATAATCACTTTTAATATATATATATATATATATATATATATATATATATATATATATATATATATATATATATATATATATATATATATATATATATATACTGTATTCATCTTCTGTAGTGTTTATTGCTAATTGCACACCTATTGAAAGACATCACCAGAGAGCTGATGGTGTTATTGGTTCTCTGGCTTCTCACATGTATCTGTTTGTGATAGTTGGTAAATTTTGGCTCTCTCTCTCTCTCTCTCTCGCTCTTTCTCTCTCTGCCACCATAGTCGTCCGTTCTCAAGGCTATATGCAGGAAATCATTGTTCAAATCACTTGATACCCCACTGATCAGTTACATCATCACAGGGCCCGTGTGTGTGTGTGAGTGTGTGTGTGTGTGTGAGTGTGTGTGTGTGTGAGTGTGTGTGTGTGTGTGTGTGTGTGTTTGGATTGATCTTCATAAGCTGTGCAATGTTGAGTAAAACTGAACTTTAGTGAGTAAACACAAGTGAACTGTTGCCACAAAATGAATGCAAAATAGTTTGTGAATGAGTAAACACATAAATAAACATGAAAAAATAAATACATGAACAAATAGATAATGAATACATTAATGTCACCCCCTCATACTCACCATACTTAACATACTCACCATACCCAACGTGCTCACCGTACAACAACATACTCACCATACCCAACATACTCAACATATTACAACATACTCACCATACCCAACATACTCACTATATCCAACATACTCACCATACTCAAACATACTCACCATACCCAACATGCTCACCATACCCATCATACTGACCATACTACAACATATTACATTTAACATATTCCACGTGATGCTGAAGTTACTCGATACACATTCGATACACCTTGCATATTACCACACTGAACACTCCTACGTGACACCACACTAAACACACCTTACAAATTACCACACTCATCACACCTACATGACACTACACCACACTCAACACTCCCAACACATCTTACAGCCTTTCCACACCACACTCAAAATACCACATTCACCACACCACACCACACACCAGCACACACTTCACCATACAACAACATCACACTCGCCTCACCATACCATACACCATTCTACACCACGCTCATCACACCACACACCACCCTACACTTCACCACACAACTCCACAGTCACCTCATCACACCAAACACCACACTACACCACATTCACCACGCAACACCACACTCGCCCCATAATGCCACACACCCATCACATCACATCACATCACATCACATACCACACTCATCTCACCACACCACACACCACCCTACACTTGACCACACAACATCACACCACAGACCGCCCTACACCACACTATACAACCTCACCTCATCACACCACACACCACCCTACACCACATTAACCACACCACACAACATCCTACACCACACTTGTCATACAACACCACCATACACTTCACCATACAGCACCACACCACACACCACCCTTCACCACACCACACTCAACAGCCATATACCGCACTTTCTCCTCTCTATATCCTGATGTAGGAAAGGTCATGGGTGAGACTGACTCGTCTCTTGAGGAGTGGGTCATCATAACATCTCTCCAGCTTCTCGCTCTCGCTGGAGGAGAATAACTGAAACCCGAAGCTCTCAAGTCCCAGGAGGGTGTCGAGGTAGACCTTGTAGAGCTGGGGGTCCCTGAGTGCTCGGTCAAGGTGAATCTCAAGCCCCAGTTGCTTCACGTTGGTCAAGGCATGACGGCTGTTAAGCATTACTTCCTGTAGTACCTGGCGGGAGGTCAAGGTAGGTCAGAGAATGATGGTTTAACACTTTGAGGATGATGGTTTAACACTTTGGGGATGATGGTTTAACACTTTAAGGAGATTCGTGGTTTAATTCTTTGAAGATAACAGCATTCTTAAGTAATGCAGTCCTACCTCATTTGCATCACCCCTTGAAGAACCTACCACGTAGTGAAGGTGTATTAGTGTACAGTCCACGCCACTTATAAGCCACACGCAGTGGCGGCCTCGAATTTCCTAACAGGCAACTTCGTTGGGTGCAGATGGGGATTGTCCTTGGTTGTCATTTCTACTCTAAGGCTTATTAGGCGTGGTGATGGGTATCAGAAGTCTGCTGTTGATAAATTTACTAATGCAATTACTAGTTATTTTAAGATGAATACTTATACTAAAAAACTTTGGCAGATGCTGTGAATATAATAATGTAGATTTTTGTGTGCCTTTGCCAAACAAAGTTTATTTGAAACCTTGGTTCATGGAGAGTGTATATCTGTAAGAATGGATAAGCTAGAGGTAAAAAAAAAAGAATAATCCTTATGAGTTACGGCAAATATTCCTTGAGAAAATATCGGAGTACCATAAGGAAAATGTTATCCATATGTACTGTGACAGTTCAGTTAACGGGGATCAGGTCGGATGTGGCATTGTTATTAGGATTTTTTTTTTAATATGGTATTAGTGTTGAAGAAAGAATATCCAAGAGAATTGGGGATAGAAGTTCAGCACCACTGCTGAACTTTATTCTATATATGTGGGACTTAAGTATGCCTCTTTGAGGAAAAAAACAGTTTTTGAGTTTGTTGACAGTTAAAGCGCTCTATTTGCTCTAAATTCTACAGTGCCTCTTGATGATGATTTAGTTTTCAAATGTAAGAAGTGTATTCAGGACATAAAATCACTTGGATATGATGTACTTGTAAGTTTCATGTGGATTCCATCCCATTGTGGTATTTATATGAATGAGGTTGCTGATGATTTGGCTAAGTAAGGGTGTGGCAAAGAAATTGTAGAATATGATTGTATTTTGAGTATTAAAAGATTAAAATCTGGAATGGTAAAAATCCGACAGCAATGGGAAATGGACAATATTCGGAAAAATTTGAATAACGGTAGTAGTAGTTTGAAACATTATGTTCGAGTTTTAAATAATACAAGTTGTACTTATGGTAAGGCTTCGGTTAAATTTGATACATTTGTGATGAGACTACGCTTTGGATACAAATATTATTGGCAATATATTGAAGGAACTGATGGCATTCCTTGTAAACTGTGTGGCTATGTAAAGTCTCATACATTATATCATTACATTATGGACTGTAACTGTTTATCAGAATTTAGGGGTGATGGTATTACTGATATTACAGAGATGGTTTGTTATTTAATAAACAAAAATATGGTTAAGAATATTATGAAAAATTATGTAAGTTTAACATAAGATTGTAGATTTTATACATATATATTTGTTGTATACATATCTGATTTATGATTACGTAAACTATTAAAAAGCTCTTGTTAAGGGTAGTTTTGGGCAGGCTAGTTAACATGCTAACCAGCTCCTTTTGATGTATTTATCAATAAATATTTTGAATTTGAATTTGACTTCGTTGGGTGCATCCCAACCCCACCTCACCTCACCTCCAGAAACGCACAAAAGTCCTCGATCGTTTTTGGTGTCGCAGTGTCTGGATGCAAGTTAATCGCGGTGACATGAGTACGCTAACTTGTCTTTGAACACCTTTCATGAATTAAGTTTAAGGTGATTGACTTTCTTTAGGTTGTCTGTAGTCTGTCTAAAATATTAAACAACACAATATACCAGACAGATGTCTGGAGTCTGTTGGTAGCTTTGATTTAGTCGTGGTCTGGGTTGTTCGTCCTGAGACAGCACACACGTCTTCGAAAGCGTTGACCTTCGGAATAAGAAAATAATTTGAAGTGTGTTCTATCTTTATTTGTTGTTTAATACAGATTTATCATAATTCCGTTTATATCCCGTTTGTTTTTATGTTTGTGTTTAATAAGCAAATAAAGCGGGACATACAGTATTAACAATTTTGGATATTTTTTGTCACCAGTTGACTGAAACCACTTCCTGACATCGATGACGTAAGTGTTTCAAGGGTTCAGGAACAGCTCTGATCTGTTTTCGATACATCGGACTCAATCATCCAAACGCGAGCCATTATACGAACTAAATATTGGCATATAATCTTGTTGTAATAAATTACCATATACTGTACTTTATAATTAGAGCACATAAAAACAAAGATCTTTAAAGCTACATGTGTGGAGAAACGAATGAGTAAAACACGACCAAACTCAATCCTTTATAGCATTAGGACGAGACCGGTTCGCTCAAGTCTTGAATCTGCCTCGTTTCACGGTTTCGGATTTAAGAGAATGTCAACAGATGCCTCTAACAAGACAAGGCACACGCATTGCTGTCGCTGCCTTAGTGCCGGTAAGGGAGTACACAAAGGATTAATAGACAAACAAATAGCACTTTACGATACTTATAAAGTGCTTTATAAGTGTCGTTGTGGGTCGATGACCTGTGCCCAGGTGGGCTATTTCCCCTATAAAAAAAAGTGCCAGTAGGTCTGGTAAAGTGTCATTCCATTAAGTCTAATAAGTGTCGTATAATGTTGTAAGGTGCGGTGCACAATGAAAAAGTGCAATGGAGTGTCATAGGTGTCATGAAGTGCCCTAAAGTGCCCTAAAGTGTGCTAAGTGTTTTGAAGTGTGGTAAGTGCCAGTGTTCTAAAGTGTTGTAAAAAGCCATATAGTCTCATAGTGTCATAAAGTGGCATAAGTGTTATAAGGTCTCGAATAGTTACAAAGTGTCCAAGCAACACACAATAAAGTGCCAATAATGCTCTAAAATCTCACAAAGTGTTGGGAGCGTCATTAATGTCGTAAATTGTTGCCAATTGTCCGTAACTGTCGAAGGTGCAAAGTGTGTCATGGAGTACAGCATGATGTCGTCAAGTGCCATGAGATGTCATAAACGTATCAAGATGGTACCAGGAGGTGACCCTGTATGGCACCAGGGCTTCCGCGACCACCAGCACAAGGTAACTAATGTTTAAGATCATTGGTTCTGCCTTAGTTGTTCCTGTAAGTTAAGTGGGACTAATCATATAGGGGTGTATGGGGGGTTAGACAGCAGGTAATCTCAACTAGATTTTCCATTTTCTATGTAAGTGTGAATTAAAACACCATGTCTTAGGTACCCCCAAGTTATCATATTCAATGATTATCGTTTTATTCATCAGCTAAGTCTGGAGTCCTTCGCATCCCACAACAGTTTTAAAGGAACGTTACGCTTTCCCCCTTCCATTTTTGAGGACGTCGGTGTCCCTCCGTCATCAGTGAGTCAACGTGATAACCCCACTCGATCACGAGGACGTCGGACTTACTCCTCATCCTTACACCGTCTTTGGGGTTTCCTGTCGTCCCATCGCTTTCTATATAGAAGCCCCTTCCCTCACGCCGTCTCTGAGGATATCGGAGTCCTCCCCCTCCCACCTTCTTCCCGTCAGAGCCTCACCTTTTCCATTCAAGTGAGTACAGTGATCACACTCACCTGTTTTAGATGCCTCCGAATCTCTCCTGGAAAGTTCTTGCTACACTGAGATAAAATTTTCTCCACCATGTTGCCATGATTTCATTGAGTTGCTTTACAGGTTATCAGCTAACCTGCTTCGTGTTTTGGAGGCGTCATATCCTCTCCAACAGCCGCTGATTCGTTAAATAGGTCCCCCCCCCTAATTGGTAAAAACCTAACTCAACCATTGGGATTGGAGCTGAGTAATAACGTGTCCCAATTCCAGTAAGTACTAATTTCAGTGGATCCTAATTTTAATGGGCTTCACCCATAATGCTCAGGACCGTAATGCCTCAGTGGCGATAAGGATTAAGGTTCTTTTTGGGCAGAGAACCATTTGATCTTGAAATATTCAGTGTTGACAGTCACGGCTCAGCTTTAGCGAACAATGTTTTCTGAACGTTCTCACACCTCGGGAGCATTAGACTCTCTCCTCGTTTTTCAAGAACATCAAGGTATTTTCATGTAATTTTTACGGGTGCCACATTTTCCTAACTTACATTAAAAACCAAATTTTCTAAGTTTTATGAAGAGAGAAAGTCTTTCGTTTTACTGTATTGGAAGCACCATTCCTTGTTGGTCGGCGTTAAATTTCTTTCTCTCAGTATTTTTCCCGGAGCGAAAGTTTGGGGATATATGGCTTTGATGCTGTCAGTTTGTCCGTCGGTCCATTCGTGTCCATCCGCCCATCTGTCTGTGATGGATTTTGTATCCACTCGATAACTCTCCATAGACGTGATGGATTAATTTAAGTATTAGTGTGAGAGCGTAAATTATGGCAGGGTCTTATTGGGTAGTACAGGACGTGTTGATAGTTCTGGGATAAGCGTTGGCTTTACACCTTGGATGACCACCGACTAAGTGCCCGGTTTGTGTGTTTCTGGAGGTGGGGTGGGGCGAGGGATGCACCCAGCAAGTTGCCAGTTAGGAATTTCGAGGCCGCCAGTCTGTATGGCTTATCAGTGGCGTGGACTGTACAATGAATAAAAGCGTTATAATGAAAAGTCAATTAAGATGAATCTGAGTACAGTAATTAACAACAGGAGTTATGAGGGAAGCAATTGAATATTAAACAAGTCCTTTGATTCTGATAGCCTAATCATTAACTAAGAGATTACTTCATTTACCGTAGTCCAAATAGTTGCAATTAAAGACACGAGAGTTTTATTTCACACTAGTACTTATGAGAGAATTTTAAGATCTCGCTTCACTTTATGTGTGTGTGATTTCTTGCTCGTCTTTAATTAGTAAGGTGGTCGACTCACAAGCGAATAGTCACAGGTTTGATTCCCGACCAGAGTGCAGTAGATGATTGCCTTCCCCACCTTGTACTCAACAGTAAATGATCGTATAAAATCCCACAGGTACTCAAATATTCATAATATTCACAAACTTACACACGTACATAAATATATACACACATTCACAAATTTACACATAAATACAGCCTCCATTACCTAAGCTGAGCCACCTACGATAAAACGTAAAAAAAAAATTCAGTAATTCAAAATAAAGTAAAATTAAAATTATCACTTATCAAAGGTTAAGAGGCTTTTCTGTAATGATCCCAGACAGGAAAATTAAAAATAGATGGAGAAAAAATCGAATATTTTTTTTCTCAACTAAATTCGCACTCCTCTCCCACTCAAGTCACACTCCCCTCCCACTCAGCCTTCTATCCTCCCCCTCAGTCTATTCCCCTCACACTCAGCCTACCCAATCTACTCCCCTGTCACCAAGCCCATTCCTCAACAACTAACCTCTGCCACTCAGTCCACCCCTTTCCCACTTAATCATTTCCTCTCCTACTCCCCTGCCAGTGAGCCGACTTACCTCCCACTCATCACCATTAATATCAAGCTTGAGATAGTCGATGGTCGATGTCTGATGGTTCATCTTGCCAACCACAGCTGCAAAGGTGAAGAGATTCCACACCTGTAAGTCAATTATTATTATTATTATTATTATTATTATTATTATTATTATTATTATTATTATTATTATTATTGTTATTATTATTGCCTTTTTTTACATATTTGGAGGTTGCATATACTTAGATGTGCGAACAGTTGCGGACAAAATTCTCTGAACACTTGGCAATATCTGGCATCTACTTCTGGGTCGTATATATGATTATTTTATATCTAATTAAGCTGCTTTTCATCACATATTATGGCGGAACCACAAAATGGAAGAAAAAACTCCTTAATACGGAGAAAATTCCAATCGCCCTCACCTAATGATCCTTAAGATTTTACAGGCTAGATACTGCCAAGTGTCCTTGGAATTTTCTCCGCAACTGTATAAGTAGATGGGTGATTTTTCTGTGAGTGATATTTTATACATATTTGTTTGCATGGGAGCATACGAGTATGTATGGATATGTTTGTACTTAGTCTTCTTCCAACACACATACCCTTTCATTGATTTTCTAAGATAGTTCTGTTAGGGACAAAGACACACACACACACAAAACAAATAAGATACACCCCATCACCTGCTGGATATTTGAGCAGGTGTTCAATACAGTATTCTTACACTGATGATGACCGCGGGAAAGATGATGTTCGTGTGGCCATCAGATAATAATGAGTTCCTTCTACAGTGTCGAGTTGTGAACTACATCCACGATGACTCATAAGAACATAAGAATGGAGGAAACTGCAGCGGGCCTATTGACCCATACTGGGCAGTCCCATTTACACCCAACCCCTATTGCTCATATAAGCATCCAACCTATGTTTGAAGCTATCCAGCGTATTCAAGTTAATGATATTTGGTAACTTGTTCCACTCATCCACTACTCTATTTCCAAACCAATGTTTACCTATTTCGCGCCTAAATCTAAATTTGTCTAATTTAAAACCATTGTTACGAGTTCACTTCTGGATGGATAGTTTTAGTACCCTTGTAATGTCCCCTTTGTTTAGCCCTGACTTCCATTTATACACCTCTATCAGGTCGACCCTCGCTCTACGTCTCTCGAGGGAGTGCAAATTAAGATGCTTTAACCTGTCTCTGTACTCAAGGTTCATAATGCCCGGGATTAGTCTTGTCATTCTCCTCTGAATTCTTTCGCGGGATTTTATATCCATTCTGTAATACGGTGACCAGAATTGAACTGCGTAATCAAAGTGAGGTTTCACAAGCGCAAGATATAGTCTTAAGATGACCTCGCTAGTCTTGTAACTAACACTCCTTTGTATGAACCCAAGTGCTTTACTAGCTTTGTTTCGAGCAAAAACACATTTTTTACTTGGCTCAAGATTCCTACTTATCATTACTCATAAATCTATCTCCCAGTCGGATTTCTCAATAACATCGTTGTTCGTGAGGTATCTGGTTTCCCTGTTTACATCTCCTATACTGAGTACTTTACATTTGTCCACATTGGATGTTATCTGCCAATTTTCAGACCATTCGAAAAATTTGTTTAGATCTTCCTGTAGTTTTGCGGAGTCCTCGTCAGATTTAATTACACGTCCTACTTTAGTGTCATCAGCAAATTTACTTATGTTGCTGTCGTCTATGCCGATATCTATGTCGTTTATGTATATAATAAATAATAATGGTCCAAGTACTGAGCCTTGGGAAACTTTACTAGTGACGTTGCTCCAATGGGATTTAGTGCCGTTAATGCTCACTCGCTGTTTCCTGTCCTGTAACCACGCCCTTAACAATTTTAGAATATCACCTTTAATGCCATGAGCCTCTACTATTCTTATTAGTCTTTCGTGGGGGACTCTGTCGAAGGCTTTGCTAAAGTCGAGATATACCACATCATAATTGTGCCCCTCGTCCAATGATTCGAAAACTGATGAAAAGAATGTTAACAGATTAGTTAGACATGAACGACCGCTTTTGATGCCATGCTGGGAATCATTGATCAACTTGTGCTTCTCCAGGTGATTTCGAATGGAGTTTGAAATGATTGCTTCCATTAATTTGCCTACAACTCATGTTAGACTGATTGGACGGTAGTTAGAGTATAGTGATCTATCTCCCTTCTTGAAAATCGGTATTACATTCGCTATCCACCAGGATTCTGGTACTACACCTGTTTTTAAGGACATGTTAAACAACTTTGCTAAGGGCATACTAAGCTCTTCCTTACATTCCTTTAATACTCTGGCAAATATCTCATCGGGACCCGGTGACTTATTAGGCTTTAGTTTGTCTATTTGCTTACTAACATCGTTACTAGTTACTACTATCTCGCTTAATTTGTTTTCTTCACTATCTCTGTATTGAGTCGGTGCCTCGGGTATCATGTTTAAATTTTCAGTGGTAAAAACTGTAGAAAAATATTTATTCAGATTATTGCTCATTTCTCTGTCGTTATCAGTTAGCTCGCCGGTATCTGACTGTATTGGTCCAATATTTTCTCGCCTCTCTTGCTATCTTCAGCTTAGCATTCCTCTTTGCTTTTCTTATCTCGGTCTTAACCCTACCGACCAATACCTTATAATAATCTCGGAGGTAAGCTTCGACACGATTTATCCTCTTACCTATAGCCTTCCTTTGTCCAATAATGTTCTTTAAATAATTATTTATCCATTTAGGGTCATTGTTGTTTGATCTGAGTTTTGTGTATGGTATGTTCTACATTTGTGCATTAAGTAACTCATTATATAAATTGTCGTGGAACTCGGCAACCTCAGATCTCGTATCAGGTCAGTCACAACCGTCGGGTCTCCAGGTAGGGTGAGGTCGCCTGCTGTGGGTACATTGTAGGTCACATCGTGTGAGGTCATGTAGCTCACAGCCAAGCGTGATACCTCTTCTCTCAACTGCCTCTTCAAGCTATCAAAGTTTGCCCTTCTGAAATCTGGGACTTTCGTGGAATTTTCCTTACGGCTGCCCTGAAAATCTAGCTGGAATCTAATTTCTTTGTAACACTCTGTTAGCAAGTTCGTTCCCTACATCGACATTAATAATGAGGTTTTCTCTGTTCGACAGAACTAAATCAAGTATATTATTACCCTGAGGGGGTTCGGTTATATGTTGACTTAGGAAACAGTCCTGGATCGTTTCAAGAAAATCCTCTGATTCTGAGTTTCCCGTAAGGTCATTCCAATCTATTTGGCTAAAGTTAAAGTCGCCTACTATACAAACTTTGCTATGTATGGAAGCCCTGCACATTTCATCCCAAATATGTCGCTCATTAACTCTATCAAGATTGGGAGGTCTATATAATACTCCTGTGATTAATTTTCCCCTACCGATTAATTTTATCCAAATTGTTTCTGTATTCCTCTCAGTTTTTATTTGCTTATTTATTTCACACTTCAGATTATCCCTGACATAGATTGCTACTCCGCCTCCTTTCCTAATCTGCCTATCGTTATGGAATAATTTGTAACCTGCAATTTGGTATTCAACAGGTAACTCATGTGAGTCCGGGTTTATCAATGTTTCAGTGAATGCTATTATATCGATTTGTTCGGTACATACCAAGGCCCTAACATCATCCATTTTGTTTCTCATACTTCTACTGTTTGCGTAGTAGACATTTAAGTTAGTCGTGTTCCGATTCCTCTCTTTGTCGCGTTTAGGTTTTAACTCCCTCTCTAATTTAGTTTTGTCATCATTCCTAACACTATTTCCCTGTAATCTTTCACTTTGTTTACCCGCTCCCACTGCAGTCTCCTCCACCCCCGTGCTCATATGTTCCCCTAGCAGTTTAAAGACTTCAACATCTTTTGAACTGCCCTCCCGAGAGACCCAGCCAGGGTTCCCATCCCATCCCTAGACAGGTGCACACCATCCCTAGCATAAAGGTCCCTTCTGCCGCAGAAGTTGTCCCAGTTGTCAATGAATGGGACTGATATTGACTTGCAATATCTGTCAAGACTGCAGTTGACACCAACTGCCCTTGACAACCATTCATTGCCAACTCTGCTTCTAGGCAGAATACCACATATGATAGGGATCCCTCCCTCAGTCCTAATACGTTCTATAGCTGCCTTGAACTTATCAATAAGCTCCTCACTCCTACACCGGCCAATATCATTGCCTCCTGCACTGAGGCAGATAATGGGTTTGTTCCCGTTACCAGATAAGATATTGTCCATCCTGTCAATATATCCTCCACCCCAGCTCCTGACAAACACACCCTCATCCTATTTCTATTTTTTCCACAAAAAAACTATTTTCATGTACCGGACCTGTGAGTCGCGAACAATTAAAATTTTCTTACCTTCCTTGTCAGCCCTATCCCTGACTATACTAACCAGCCATGTCAATTTTGTTCATATTTTCCCTCTGTATATATACAGTATTTTTCTGGTTAAATAGACTGTTCCAATATCAATACTCAATATCGATATATCTTCCGTAGCTTGCGGGACTAAACGTAATTCATATCGGTCGCTAATATCAAGATATCACTATTGTTTTAATCACATTCTCTACAACTCATTACAAAATATGAATTACCATAATATTAACCTGTCCTACTTTATATCATCTTAAATTAATTACCCTAATGCTAACCTATCCAAAACTAACCGAATGTATCTTAACCTAATCTAACCTAACCTTACCTAACCTTCACGTAATCATAAAATATTACTCAGGTAGTCGGTAGTAGGCAGCTATCAAACAGGGAGGTACTACCGCCTGGGAAGATATTGGAAGCATAATGTGTTGTCTAATGGTAGACCCTGCTGCCATATGGCATCACGAAAATTGTGACCAAGTCCCAGGCTGCTGATCTGACTTTCTGCCTCATTTACACACAATTGCAGGGTCTCAATTGTTTCTCTTACTATTGACAACACAACATACATATATTGTTCCTCACTTTTGATTTTTTTCATTTTGTATTTCTTTGTGGTTCTTTATTATTATTGTTGTTGTTGTTGTTGTTGTTGTTGTTATTATTATTATTGTTATTGTTATTAATATTGTTATTATTATTATTATTATTATTATTATTATTATTATTATTATTAATATTATTATATTTTCGCCCCCCAGGCCCCGATGTGGGTCAGTGACCTGTGCCTGGGTGGGCTAATTCCCGTAAAAAAAAAATCGCAGTCTCAATTGTTTCTCTTACTTTGACAACACAACATACATATATCATTTCTCACTCCTGACCTTTTTTTATTTATGGTTCTTTATTACTATTATTATTATTATTATTATTATTAATATTATTATTATTATTAGTAGTAGTAGTAGTATTGTTTTATTATATTTTCGCCCCCCAGGCCTTGAAGTAGGTCAATAAAACTGACCTGTGTCCGGGTGGACTAATGCCCGTATAAAACAAACAAACAAACAAAAACAATACTGTACAGTCAACCAAGGATGCATTGACCCTACCCTGGCTCTCGTACTCGCAATTTTACCTGGCAATACATGGTGAAGTAAGGCTGTATGTAATGGGGGACTGTGATTAGGGACCTATTTTCGGCTGTATCAGTGTCAGGTTAGATCTTAACCCTTTCACCGCGTGTTGCGCACTTGCCATTTTATCCTGGCTACTGCCAGACGATTTTATTCAGCTTAGGGTAACCTCTCGCTGTGAAAGGGTTAAACAAATAAAAGGTAGCATTTTTACAATAATAAGTATCCTGTGTGCCGCCGGCAAGGCCGTGGGCTTGTAACCCTCGTCTTCCCGTGGTGCCCACCTACTTTCCTTACACAGCTAAACTGTGAAATGCTCTGCCTTCTTCTGTGTTTCCATACTCAAACAATTGTCTCGCTTCAAAAAGCTGGTTTTCTGGCATCATCGTGGTGTACATTAATATATTTTTTTTCTCTTCTATTTTTTTTAATCTTATTTTTCATCCCCAGACCCCGTTGTGGGTTGATGATCTGTGTCCGGGATGGCTATTTCCCGTAAAAAAAAATCTTAAATAAAAAAGAAAATTATTAATGAATTGGCAAGTCAACTAAATCCATAGCTGCCACAAGATTCTCACATCAAATTTGAAAACATTTCATAATCTACAATAATAATGAGTAGTTTATTATTCTAAAAGTGTTATCCTTGGTTTGTTTGATATTTATCATGACAGTGATACACCAGTCACAATCACTTTTACATAGAGCCTTACTTTACCAAGTATTGCCGGGTAAAATTGTGAGCACGAGACCCAGGGTAGGGTTAGTGCATCTTTGGTTGACTGTCCATGCTGATCAGTCTCATATATCAAGTTTGGTTCGTAAGCTTTGGAGGATACGCAAGGAAGGTTGCTTTCAGGTTTATTCATTGTAGAAGTTATCTGATAATCGATTATACTACACATACACACACACACACAGGTGAGTGTGTTCCTTACCTGTCCGTCCACAAGCCTAGTGATATTGTTGGCGGCCAGACCCACATTATAGAAATGGATGCGTGAGGTGTGGTTGTGGTTACCTGTGTCAGGTGACGGGTCAAACGCCCACACCTGCAAGAAAATGTTGATGAGGAGCAGGGAGGAGGAGATGAAGGGAATGGGGAGAAAGGAGAAACAAAACAAGAAAGATAAGATGGTGAAGAAAAACATTTGATAATCTCACAGTTTAAATGACATGTATAGATTATATTGACAAACTTCACGCAGAATTTTAAGAGATATTGAAAATTGTTATCAGTTAGTAAAGTTTACGAAAACTCTCTGAGATCATGTGAGAATTCGGCACCTCAACTTATTTCACTCTAACGCCACCTGGCGGAATTAGTTTGGGTTAGATTACATGAAGTTAGGTTAGGTTAAGTTAGTTTAAGTCCGATTAGCTTAGATTAGGTAATTTTCGGTTTGGTTAGGTTAACTTAGGTTAAATCATGTTAGATTAGGTCTTGTTTAAATAGGTTAGGTTAAATGAGGTCAGCGTTTGGGTATTCAATCATCATGTGGAATAAGCTGGGGTGCCAAATTTTCAGGTGACCTGCTTTTTATTTTTTAAAGTAATTTTCATAAAATTCATAAAATTTTATAAAAAAATCCTTTATTATAACATGAAGGCCTGAAAGTCATATAAACAGACTGATATAGTTAGCTCTACATCTCATTGCATTTTTAATTCCCCAAATCTCTATTTTCACAATTGTGTATTATATATTACATATATGTGTGTGTGTGTGTGTGTGTGTGTGTGTGTGTGTGTGTGTCTGTGTTAGCTGTAGAGTTGGCTTTGCCATCAGAAAATGCATCCTACACAGGCTAACTGAAATGCCTGTTGGGATCAAAGAGCGCATCATGACTCTCTGAGTCCCACTGAATCACTTACGTCACGCCTTCTTCATCAGTGCATATGCCCCAACTCTGGATGCAGAGGATGACATCAAGGAAGCCTTTTATGTCGACCTTGACAGAGTGCTAACCTCTATCCCCAGGGAGGATGAGGTTGTACTCTGAAGTAACTTCTATGCCAGAGTTGGCAAAGAATCATTGGGAGAAATGGACTAAGCAAGTGTAATCCCAATGGCGCACTCGTCCTCACCAAGTGTGCTGCACACAACCTCACTATCACAAATACCCTGTTTAAGCACGTCTACAAGTTCAAGGGTTCATGGCAACACCCACGATGCAAAAACTGGCATCTCATTGAATAATACATCATTGTCATAGAAAGAGATCGCCGAGACGTCCTCATCACCCGAGCCATGCGTGGCTCATACCATATATATCGATAAAGCCACACAAGAAAAGGGAAACTCTGGAGCAACTTAGCTTTCGTCTTTACTCAAGATATCTTCAGCGGCAACTGAATTTATAGAGACCGAGAGAGGCTTATATACAAGGGTGACTTTACATAACTTCAAGTCAGGTCAATAACATGGGGTTAACTAATCTACACACCATCTCCACCGCACACTAAAGAAGAGCTTATAAACAATGAACGACGTAACAAGTAAGGTCAAGCCAGGTCAAAAACTTGAGACCCACTGACAAAAAAAAATTATGCAACAGATTATCAGTCATGTACTGACCATCAGTAAGGTGTTTTCCTTTTCCTATGTGTCATTATCGAGAATTATTTTTTCTATTTGTTTTTAAGAAAAACTAAAAGTTTATTTAAGAACATAAGAATGGAGGAAACTGCAGCGGGCGTATTGGCCCATATTGGGCAGTCCCATTTACACCCAACCCCTATTGCTCATATATCCATCCAACCTATGTTTGAAGTTATCTAGCGTATTCGACTTAATAATGATGTTTGGTAACTTGTTCCATTCGTCCACTACTCTATTTCCAAACCAATGTTTGCCTATTTCGCGCCTAAATATAAATTTTTCTAATTTAAAACCATTGTTACGAGTTCGCTCCTGGTTGGATAGTTTGAGTACCTTTGTTATATCCCTTTTGTTAAACCCTGACTTCCATTTATACACATCTATCATATCGCTCCCCACTCTACGTCTCTCGAGGGAGTGCAAATTAAGATGCTTTAACCTGTCTCTGTACTCAAGATTCCTAATGCCCGGCAGTAGTCTTGTCATTCTCCTCTGAATTCTTTCTTGGGATTCTATATCTATTCTGTAATACGGTGACCAGAATTGAACTGCGTAATCCAAGTGAGGTCTCACAAGCGCAAGATGTAGTTTTAGGATGACCTCTAGTCTTGTAACTAACACTCCTTTGTATGAACCCAAGTACTTTATTAGCCTTTTTTTTCGAGCAAATACACATTGTTTACTTGGCTTAAGATTCCAACGTATCATTACTCCTTAATCTTTCCCACATTTGGATTTCTCTATAACATCGATGTTCATCTGATATCTGGTTTCTCTGTTTCCATCTCCTAGACTAAGTATTTTACATTTGTCCAAATTGAATTTCACCTGCCATTGTTCAGACCAATCGAAAAATTGGTTTAGATCTTCCTGTAGTTTTGCGGAGTCCTCGTCAGATTTAATTACTCGCCCTATTTTAGAGTCATCAGCTGTTTCTTGTCCTGTAACCACGCACTAATCCATTTTAGAATATCTCCTCCAATGCCATGAGCCTCTACTTTTCTTATTAGTCTTTCGTGGGGGACTCTGCCGAAGGCCTAACTAAAGTCAAGATATACCACATCATAGATGTGCCCTCGTCCACTAATTCGAAAACAGCTGAAAAGAATGTTAATAGATTAAGAAGACATGAACGCCCACTTGTGAAGCAATGTTGGGAATCATTGATCAACTTGTGCTTAACCAGGTGATTTCGAATAGAGTTTTAAATTATTGCTTCCAGTAATTTGCCTACAATTGATGTTAAGCTGATTGGACGGTAGTTAGAGGATAGTGTTCTATCTCCCTTCCTGAAAATCGGTATTACATTCACTATCCTCCTGGATTCTGGTACTACACCCATTTTTAAGGACATGTTAAACAAATTTGCTAAGGGCATACTAAGCTCTTCCTTACATTCCTTTAATACTCTGGCAAATATCTCATCGGGACTTGGCTACTTATTAGGCTTGTCTATTTGCTTCCTAACGTCGTAACTAGTCACTGCTATCTCGCTTAATCTATTCTTCATTATCCCTGTATATAGTCGGTGCCTTGGGTATCTTTTTAAAATTTAATCAGATTATTGCTTATTTCTCCGTCGTTATCAGTTAACTCGCCTGTATCTGACTGTATTGGTCCAATCTTTTGTCGTGTTTAATTTGATGCATTTGAAAGAATTCCTTGGGGTCTGACTTCGCCTCCCTTGCTTCATTATTCCTCTTTGGTTTTCTTATCTCATTCTTAACCCTGCAATAGCCCCTGTCTTATAGGCAGAAGTATTTATATAAATGGGTTAATTACATTTGATTTATATACTCTTATCACCCTCTGTAACTTTCCACTAGCTGTGAGGTAGCATGTTCAGAGCATGTGATAAAGTATGCCCACGGGAAGTCGTGTCGTGCCGGTTCTTTGGCCACCTCTTGCGGCAGTAGTTTGATATCTCTGACTAGAGGAAGACGTTATTGAGAGCCATCGTGAATTGTTCCGTCTTCCCTCGAGGTAGGACGTATATTACCGTTCTCCCTCGACTGGTATTACAAGCACTCTCACTCAACCCCTCACACCAACAAGACGTATTTTAGAAGAGCTGTTTAAAATAGCCTCCGTCCTCACTCATAGCTACAGTGATTAAGTTACGGTGATATACACTTGGAACTGTATATAATATATTTTCTTTATAAATACAGAAAGGAACACATTGGATTTCACTACAGAAGATCCAATAAACTTTGATCTATATTTTAATAAGTCTAAAATATAAGGTAACGTGCTTCTCAAGTGATTGTGACAACCCAGGAAGGTTGTTATATATATGGCAGTTTCACAAGTAACTGTTATATCACACTAACAGGCACCTCAACAGATACACAGTTGGTAAAGGTTGAGATATCTTGTTCTCCCCATTGCTGTGGCGTACTGTTACTTAAGAAGAAACCGTTATAACCCTACTGGCAAATACCTTATAATAATCTCGGATGTAAACTTCACCACGATTTATTCTTCTACCTATAGCCTTCCTTTGTCCAATAATATTCTTTAAATAGTTATTTATCCATTTAGGGGCACTGTTGTCTGATCTATGACGACCTAGACAAAATATATGCTTTAGATCCCATTTTTCTTATTTCCTGGAATTACATTTTCTACTATATAAAGTGTATACTATGACAAAGGTTATTTTTCTCTTTTTGTTGTGAAAAAATAAATAAAATCCCATGTAAGACTGACTGTGACAAATTACTTACCTCACACCCCATTCTCTCCATGTCCTCCTCGAAGCTCCACTTTCCTCCAACACCAAAGGAGTACACAACACATTCATCCCTCTTGAGAGCCACGTCTGTGTCCATACATAGGACCCGCGAATCGTCCAGCACATTCTGTATCCAGAGAGACGAGGAATATTGATAACTCGAGGGTGTTGATATGCGCAGATGAAGGAGGAATTGGCCAGGGAAAGCAGACAGTTATCAACACATTACCTCCACCAAAATAATGCAGGAAATGACATCAGGCCACCTCATGTTGTTTGTAGTTTAAAACCCAGTTAGGTTAGGTTATGTTAGATTAGATTAGATTAGAATAGATCATGTCGGACTAGGTTAGGCTAACTTTGGTTGAGTTATGTTAAGCACGCGGACTTCTACATATCAACACCTCACCCCGCCATGATTCGAACCCACGATCTTATGATTGTGGGTTCGAATCCTGGCCGGGTGAGGTGTTGATTATATATATATATATATATATATATATATATATATATATATATATATATATATATATATATATATATATATATATATATATACATCATATATATATATATATATATATATATATATATATATATATATATATATATATATATATATATATATATATATATATATTGTAAATCACATATATATATATATATATATATATATATATATATATATATATATATATATATATATATATATATATATATATATATATTGATAAAATCACACGGGAAAAGGGAAACAACGGAGCACCTTAGCTTTCGTCTTTATTCAAGACATCTTCAGAGGCAACTGGATTACATGGACAGAGAGAGGCTTAAATATATAGGGTGACCTTAAAAACATGAGGTCAGATCATAATGATATCATCCACTAATCCCCACACCAACACACACGTAGAGGAGCTTAAGACGTGACGTGACTAGTCAGGTCAGGTAAAAAATAAGGGACCCACTAAATAAGTATCATACATCTAGATCAAAGGTTTCCAAAGCATTTTTAACCTTGGGCCACTGACAAATAAATTTATGTAACATATTATCAGTTTTGAACTGACCATCACTAAGGTTTATTGATTTTAATTCCTTAATCAAACTAGCTTCAACCAGAAATCTTTTTGTGACACAAGATGGTTTAAATACTTCTAAGCTTTTTTCCCAAGCAATGGGATGATTATTATTCCTAACATGAACGAACTAGGCACTGCTTTCAGATGCTGTTCTGATATTGTACTTATGTTGTTTGATTCTGAGCTGCAGTGTTTTTCCTGTCTGTCCTACATAATTACAACTACATTTAAGAACATAAGAATGGAGGAAACTGCAGCGGGACTATTGGCCCATACTGGGCAGTCCCGTTTACACCCAACCCCTATTGCTCATATAAGCATCCAACCTATGTTTGAAGCTATTCAGCGTATTCGAGTTAATGATGATATTTGGTAACTTGTTCCATTCATCCACTACTCTGTTTCCAAACCAGTGTTTACCTATTTCACGCCTAAATCTAAATTTATCTAATTTAAAACCATTGTTACGAGTTCGCTCCTGGTTGGATAGTTTGAGTACCTTTGTAATGTCCCCTTTGTTTAGCCCTGCCTTCCATTTATACACCTCTATCATGTCGCCCCTCGCTCTACGTCTCTCGAGGGAGTGCAAATTAAGATGCTTTAGCCTGTCTCTATACTCAAGGTTCCTAATGCCCGGGATTAGTCTTGTCATTCTCCTCTGAATTATTATTTCATGATTCTATATCCATTCTGTAATACGGTGACCAGAACTGAACTGCGTAATCCAGGTGTGGTCTCACAAGAGCAAGATACAGTTTTAGGATGACCTCGCTAGTCTTGTAACTAACACTCCTTTTGTATGAACCCAAGTACTTATTAGCCTTTGTTACGAGCAAAGACACATTGTTTACTTGGCTTAAGGTTCCTACTTATCATTACTCCTAAATCTCTCTCGCAGTCGGATTTCTCTATGGCATCGTTGTTCATCTGGTATCTGGTTTCCCTGTTTACATCTCCTACTGTATACTGAGTACTTTACATTTGTCCACGTTGAATTTCATCTGCCAGAACAAAGGGGACATTACAATGGTACTCAAACTATCCAACCAGGTGCGAACTCGTAACAATGGGTTTAAATAAGACAAATTTAGATTTTGGCGCAAAATAGGTAAACATTGATTTGGAAATAAAGTAGTGGAACAAATTAGCAAATATCAACATTAACTCGAATACGCCGGATAGCTTCAAACATAGGTTGGATGGATGGTGGCCGGTAATAAAGTCACAGGAAAAAAAGTCACAGAAAAAAAGTCACAATTTTGGCTAGGAAAAAAAGTCACAATTAATTGATGGTGGCCGGTAATAAAGGCTAGGTTAGGTTAGGTTGACATATTAACCTTAAAAAATGTGAGAATTCGATTGTTAACTTTTCTTTTTTTCCTGTGACTTTTTTTCCTGTTACTTTTTTACCTGTGACTTTTTTACCTGGATTCGAATGGATATATGAGCAATGGGGGATGTTTGTAAATGGGACTGCCCAGTATGGGCCAATAGTCCCGCTGCAGTTTCCTCCATTCTTATGTTCTTATGTTCTTAAGGAACAATAACACTGGTCAACATAAAAAAAAATTCTCATGGTTCTGGATCAAAACAGTCTGATTCTAGTGTAATTGTATGTGCTGAACTCAATTATGACATTCGTATAGCTGTATCAGGCTCAGTTTTCCAGAACCAGCATATCTATGTATTTAGTGTACCATGCTATTCATACAGTAATTTATATGCTCATTGGCTCCACTTATACCTGACCATTGTGGACCTGGTCTCACCCTCCTCTGTATATATACACCTTGATTTGTATTTCTCTCTCTAGTCTGTACTCACCCCTGAAGATGTGAATTACACGAAAGCGCTTGGGAACTTCTGTGTTTCTTCTTTTCTCAGGGTTATCATATATATATATATATATATATATATATATATATATATATATATATATATATATATATATATATATATATATATATATATATATATATATATATACACACAATTAGTGTTATTCCAAAACATCAAGATTACCTTAGGTTTTTTAAATCAAAAGTACAATCTAGTAACACATTAATCAAACATCAAAATAACTTGCAAGAAATTCTTCTATGTACTGTACATAAATATTATTAAAAATTTAGCACATTTTAAAACCTCAAATAAAATAATGCAACTTGTTAAACTACACCTGAAAAGGTTTAAAAAAATTATAACTTCTCAACCTAACTGCTTATTTGAGTTCATTGACTATAAAATTTCACGATATACTTAAAATAATTAATTATTTTCTAGAGACTGTCTTTCCCTTCGATATTTATCATGATCCTTCGAAAGTGAATGTTGGTAAAATGTTTTCTGTAAAAATTATTCCAATTAGAAAACTTTTATTTCAAATCTTTTACGTAAATAAACTTCCAGGTAGAACAATACTCACCTTCTAGTTTCCAGAATGAGGAGTATATGTATGGAGAGCGGGGGAAGGAGATATTTGGTGAAGCGTTTGAGTGTGTTTATGTGTGTGCGTGCGTGTGTGTGTGTATTGGTGTACGTATGTGTTCATGAGTGTTATAATTATGTACGCAAGCGTCTTAAATAACCTGTCATAACCAATAAAACAACTACAAACACCTATTTACTTTACATACTTCTGTGATTTACCAACAAAGCTCTTTAAATCTGTATAACTCACAGTCTTCCAGTTAAACACACCACCGATGGATTTCACGTTGGTACAAATTGACTGTTGACCCTCTAAAAGTTTGTACAGTCTGGTCAACTCGCTGAGATGGGAGACTCTCTGTGGGCTGTGGTTCAGGGCCTCCGTGATCCATCTGTGTGTTAGGTTAGTACCGCCTGCCTCTCCTCCGTAGTCTCTCAGCCACTCCCAAAACTGGCTGGCACGAGGAATTGTGTTAGTGTATACAGAGCCAACACTAAAGCGATGGTGCCAATATTTGATAAGCGCCAAAAAGTTGCTAACAAGACATTAACTTTCAAATAATGGTGATTAAAAAATTAACTAGCCCGAGCTATTGCTAGCAAAAGCAAACTAATATAATCTACAATCATACTATTAACACTAGATTACCAATGAATACAAAATAGTGAACAAAAATACATGAAAACAATAACAACGACTAATGACTGTAACCTTACCTCTAAGTCTCCTCCAAGGAAAAGCCTCTTACCTTTTCCTCCCCTTCCCGTCCTTGGGATTACCGAAGGCCAGGTTAACCATCATGTCCCAGGCCCCGTGGGTAGAGTTGGGTGCAGGGACTGTCAGCTCCTCCGGCATTAGGTTCCCTACCACTGCCCGGGCCACGAGACGTACCAACCCTCCTTGATTCTCGTCAACCTGCTGTCAGCCACAAGTGTCTGTTACTCGGCTCTGCTTACTTCCGCTCAGTTATACCAAACTATCTGTTTATCCTATTCAGGCTTGTCTTATTTATTTATGCTATAGGTAATTCGACACTAATTTTTCCTACATCTTCGTCTTTGTTGTAATCTTACTCTGTTATATTTTCTTTATTAGGAATCCCACACCTTCTTACTCTCTTGTCAACCTTTCCTTTTCATTACATAAGAACACAAGAACATAAGAAAATAAGAAGTCTGTAATAGGCCGGTTGGCCTGTGCATGGCAGCTCCTGTCGAGAGTTAGTACCACTCTCTATCATCCATGAATCTATCTAGCCTCCTTTTAAAATTCTCCAGCGTTCCAGCACTTACTGCAAAGTTGCTAAGCTTGTTCCACTCGCCCACCACCCTATTTTTGAACCAGTTCCTTCCTATCTCCCTCCTAAACCTAAACTTATCCAACTTAAATCCATTGCTACGAGTCCTATCCTGCTCGGATATTATAAGAACTTTATCTATATCGTCTAGATACTGGGATCAGCAGTGACATAAACAAGTTTGCGGATGACACCAAAATAGGGCGGCAGATTAATTAAGGGCAGGATGGAAATGCATTACAGGAGGATCTAAATAAACTGCAGCGGTGGTCTGAAAAATGGCAAATGAAATTCAACACCAGCAAGTGCAGCGTACTTAATATTGGAAGAACAAATAGTGTCAATGTATACAGCCTTAACAACATCAACCTAGAGAAGTCGACTTGTGAAAGAGACCTAGGGGTACTTGTAAGCCCGGACCTAGGGTCTAGAAAACAATGCGTTAATGTTCGAAATAAGGCAAACAGAGTATTGGGTTTTATATCTAGAAGTGTAAGTAATAAGAGTGCAGAAATTTTATTGCAACTATATCTTGCACTAGTCAGGCCGCACCTCGATTATGCGGTTCATTTCTGGTACCCTTATTATAGAATGGATATGAATTCACTGGAGTCGGTGCAGCGAAGTATGACGAAAATGATTCCGGGACTTAGAAACCTCCCATATCAGGATAGGTTAAAGAAACTTAACTTGCATTCCCTAGAAAGACGAAGAGTGCGGGGAGATATGATAGAAGTATTTAAGTGGGTTGCTCCTCCCCTCCCTTTAACTTCTTATAAGAACATAAAAAAATAAGGAGTCTGCAATAGGCTGGTTGGCCTGTGCATGGCAGCTCCTGTCGAGAGTTACTACCACTCTCTATCATCCATGAATCTATCTAGCCTCCTTTTGAAACTTTCCAGCATTCCAGCACTTACTACAAAGTTGCTAAGCTTGTTCCACTCGTCCACCACCCTATTTGTGAACCAGTTTTTTCGTATCTCCCTCCTAAACCTAAACTTATCCAACTTGAATCCGTTGCTCCGAGTCCTATCCTGCTCGGATATTATAAGAACTTTATCTATATCCCCTTTATTGATTCCTTTCACCCACTTAAATACTTCTATCATATCCCCGCACTCTTCGTCTTTCTAGGGAATGCAAGTTAAGTTTCTTTAACCTATCCTGATATGGAAGGTTTCTAAGTTTCGGAATCATTTTTGTCATTCTTCGCTGCACCGACTCTAGTGAATTTATGTCCATTCTATAATAGGGGCACCAGAACTGAACCGCATAATCGAGGTGCGGCCTAACTAGCACAAGATATAGTTGTAATAAGACCTCTGCACTCTTGTTACTTACACTTCTAGATATAAAACCCAATACTCTGTTTGCCTTATTTCGAACATTAACGCACTGTTTTCTAGGCCGTAGGTCCGGGCTTACAAGTACCCCTAGGTCTCTTTCACAAGTCGACTTCTCTAGGTTGATGTTGTCAAGGCTGTATACATAATCAGTATTTGTTCTTCCAATATTAAGTACGCTGCACTTGCTGGTGTTGAATTTCATTTGCCATTTTTCAGACCACCTCTGCAGTTTATTTAGATCCTCCTGTAATGCATTTGCATCCTGCCCTGAATTAATCTGCCACCCTATTTTAGTGTCATCCGCAAACTTGCTTATGTCACTGCTGATCCCAGTATCTAGATCGTTTATGTAGATTATGAACAAGAGTGGGCCTAGTACTGACCCCTGAGGAACCTCACTGGTTACACGGCCCCACTCAGATCTAACACCTTCTACGCTGACCCTCTGCGTTCTATCGGTGAGCCATGATTTTATCCAATTAAAACTTTCCCCTCGATACCATGAGCCTTAATTTTTCTCAGAAGCCTCTGATGCGGTACTCTGTCAATGCTTTGCTAAATTCCTATAAGTTCCTTATAAATTCCTTTCTTTATTCCTATGTCAGGTTAAGTTTTCTGGTCATCCACCTTGGTTCATTCATATTTGACCTAATTTTTCTGTATGGTATATTTTGTTCTTGTGCTTTACGTAGTATACGAGTGCATATATTATAGTCATGATCAATTGTTTTGTCATCTGTGACCTCACCCGTTCCTACTGGGGACTGACCTGCCTGTTCCCAGGCGACCTCACCTAGGTACCTTCTTAACCCCTGATAATCCGCCAATCGAAAGTTTGGGACTCTGACCATATTGTCATTGATTTTCGTTCCCAATTTAGGGTAAACCTGATTTCTCTGTGATCACTGTTCCCTAGTTCTTCTCCTACTGTGATATCTTTGACAATATTTTCTTTATTTGTTAATACTAGGTCTAATTTATTGTTACCTCTAGTAGGTTCTGTAATTAGTTGTTTCAAAAAATTGTCCTGTACTGTGTCTAGGAAGTCTTCAGATTCATAGTCACCTATAATGTTGTCCCAGTCAATATTTCCGAAGTTGGAATCCCCCATAATGCACAGGTTGTTATATTTTGCTGCCCTACTCATTTCCTGCCATATGGGCTGAGCTGCTTCTTTCCCAAGACTTGGGGGCTTGTAAATCACTCCCATAATTGCTATGACGTCTATTTTCTCGGTAAATACAACCGCTCTCAGCAAGTCTATTTTCTTTCTAACGCTCCTACTGTTTGTATAGCATACATTTAAACCTACCCTTCCCTGGTCCTGTTTTACCCCTTGTCCTGAGTAACCACTTTTACTCCCCAGGACCTGCTTGTTTTTCGACTCCCATTTACCCCGACCTCTCTCTACTGGCGAAACCCCCCCTTTGGAGCGACAATTTCAGGCTCCAGGGATGCAGACAACGTCTTTACCCCCGCTCGAGACAAGTGTACTCCGTCACGACTGTGCAGGTAGTCGTTGTCATAGAATGGTTGCCAGTTATCAATGAATGCCCAACCATTGCTTGCACAATGTTTTTCCAGTCGGCAATTTATAGCAATTGCCCTGGATAACTATCCATGACCACTCCCCTTCTAGGCAAGACACCACATACTATCGGGATCCCTCCCCTATCTCTAACCTTCCCCAGCTCCTCCCTATACCTCTTGAAAAGTTCCTCACTCCTAACTTTTCCTATGTCGTTACCTCCGACACTAAGACACACTACTGGATTGGTACCCTCCCCTGACAAAACCCTATCTATCCTCTGAGCTACATGCCCTATCCCAGCCCCAGGAAAACACACCCTAGTCCTACGTTTCCTATCTCCTGCACAAAAAGTCCTATCTAAGAACCTCACCTGGCTGCCCCCAACTACCACGACCTTATCACTGGGCAGGGTCTGAACTACTGCCCTTTTCTCTCCTGGCACCACATCGCCCTGCTCTTCTCTTCCTCGTCCTGCCTCTTCTCCTCCTCGCCAGCTTCCTCCAACACTTGGTAGGGGTTACTGCACTCCACACCCTGGTCAGCTTTCCTGAGTCTGATCCTAGTCCCCTTGGAAGGAACCACTCTCCACGCCTGTTCCTCCTTCGCAGGTGTCCTGCTAGGCAAGACACCTACGTGAAGGAGTTCAGTCCTGAGGGCTTTGTTCTCCCCCTTTAACACGTCCATCTCTCTCCTTCAACTGCTCCAGCTGACTTAACAAAGTAGCCAGGTTCCTCACACTCCGTCCCTCTTCCTCCACAACAACACAAACGATCCACGGCGGCCATTTGCTCTGGTCACTAACACGAGCACTTAGGGGCACGTTCTTCTCACAGCAAGATTTTTGTCGGCGTTCAGGTAAAAACTTAAAAGGTAAATATCTAAGAAAAATAATTAATCCAGTACAATAATTCTTGAATTAAAGGAATACCTGTTTTACAATACGGATATTTTGTCTTTTGTTAAAATATTGGATACATGTTGACGCAATCAGACTGACACTCACCACGGTAAATTAGAACTTTTAATATATGAGTATTTTTGCGTAGGTGACACCAAGGTCGTGCGTATGGCTTGGTATAGTTCTTAATTCCTCAGCCATAAGAATTCAGAAAAAAAGAACTCTTCTAATGTCTGTTATGTATATTCTGTCTGTGCTATTTTATGATCCTAGAAAGAATTCAGAGGGGAATCACAAGACTAAACCCGGGCACTAGGAACCTTGGGTACAGAGACAGGTTAAGGTATCTTAATTTCACTCCCTCAAGAGACGTAGAGTGAGGGGCGATATGATCGAGGTGCATAAATGGAAGTCAGGGCTAAGCAAAGGTGAAACAACAAAGGTACTCAACTATCCAACCAGGAGCGAACTCATAACAATGGTTTTAAATTAGACAAATTTAGATTTAGGCGCGAGATAGGTAAACGTTGGTTTGGAAATAGAATAGTGGATGAGTGGAACAAGTTACCAAACATCATCATTAACTCGAATACGCTGGATAGCTTCAAACATAAGTTGGATGGATATATGAGCAATAGGGGTTGGGTGTAAACGGGACTGCCCAGTATAGGCCAATAGGCCCGCTGCAGTTTCTTCCATTCTTATTTTTTTATGATAGATAGATAGATTTTATCAAAATTAATAAAATTTTCATGATGTGATAACAATAATAATATGCACAAGTTTAACAAGATCACCCAGCCCTATAATAAAACACAGTCACACTCACAGTCAAGTTGTCTTACCTTGTTGATGTCGTTGTTGTTGTCGCTCTCTGTGGTGTCTTGTCGGGTGTTGTTACTCGGGGGGTCAACATCTGCCTGTACCTCGCCCTCATTCTTCACCACCTGGAGCGTCCTGCTACTATGTGCTTTCTTCTCTGCCGCGGCCACGGGCACTACGTCGACCTGGCGGGTCTTTCCTCTAACTGAACCTGAGCTGTGGCTGTGAGTTGCTCCCCCCAACCCCTGCTTCATCAGCCCTGAGAGAATCGCCGGTCCAAGCCCATTAACTAGAAATTTCATGGGGCTAGATTTAGTAGCCGCTGGAGAACCATTGGAGCTCGTCTTGTCGTTGCCTAATCCATGTGAAAGTGCTCCAGCTACCAGGGCTGGAACCAGTCCACTTAGGATTGACTGTACAGGATTAGAGTTATGTGAATCCTTAACGCCTATACCATCTTGTGCCACACCTGCAATTAGAGCTGATCCCAATCCCCTTAAAACAGACTTTACAGGGCTGGACTTCACTGCTCCCTCACCTGCACCACTCTGGTCACCTTTCATAACACTGAGACCTTGTTGCACTGCTCCTGCCAGGAGGGAAGGCCCCATCTGAGAGATAAATGACTGAAGAGGACTAGATTTTTCATGATCAGTCAAGTGTCTTGGGTTAGAATTTCCTCCGCCGAGTCCCTGTTGAACTATTCCAGATAGAAGCGCCGGGCCAAACTCACTGAAGAGGGACTGGAGGGGGCTAGACTTCGAAGCCTCGGTATAACGATCCACCTTGTTATTGTTGTTTGATAAAGCTCCGGCTATCAGAGGAGAAGCTATATTGGACATGAGAGAACTGACCACACTCTGACCCGACAGCTTTCCTGCTGAATCTTGGCCCAAGATTGATGCTACAGCCTCTACCGCGCCTCTGACATTACCTGGGTCAAAACCTCCTCGTTCTAGTGGACGCTTCTTGGGTGGCCTTGACGGGGTCTTCTTGTTTACAGGATTATCTTTTCTTTCTCGTAATTCATCAGCCTCTGCTTGTTGTTGTAAAGAGGTGTTGTTGCCAGTGACATTGTCGGGACCTGTTTCTGTTTCGTTACCAACTGCATATTCTGGCTTTAGAAAAACTTGTGAATCTGGGAGTCCTTGATTACCGTCTTTTCGTGTTTGAGGAGACCCACCACCATTACCCTCAGTGTTGCCAGATGAATGCCGGGACTTAAAAGCAGCCACAGCGCCCAGCAACATGCCGGGGTTCACCGTTTTCTCACCTTTCACGAACCCTTGAACTACGTCTGAGATGCTCTTCTTTGGTGTGAAATTCTTGTTGACGAATCCAAAGGCCGGTTCATTCTTACCAACCATAGTTGTCAATGGAGCAAACTTCTTCCCCTTGAAATCAATCATGATCACGTCTTTTTTCTCTAGGGAGTTGAGGCTATTGAACTTTGCTTTTTTCGAATTGTTTGTACTGTTTTGTGCATCGAAAAAGGATGGTAGAGGTGCCAGTAGTAGTGGTCGTGATGAATGGTTGTCTGGTGCTGGTAGCGAGGAGGCCTGACCATCTGAGTTGTTGGTTGGTCCATCGGGCGTCAGCGCTCTGTCAACAACTAAGACACTGGAGAGAGAAGGTATTGTCTTGAGAAAATACACGGAGGTTAGATGATACATCTTCACTCTGAAATGGCCGACCATAAGCTTTTCCCTCTAGTGCCATGTTCTTCCAGAGAAACAAAGGCTTTTGGTTCCATATAGTTATTCCAACACTTCCTAATTGACTCTATGGTAGACGTAAAATTTTATTCAGGTTTATCTAGGAAATATTTTTCATCAGTTTCTTCCAGCCAATCTCCCACCCTTGATCTTTTTTCCAATCCAGAGTAATTTATATTCGCATCCAGGGAACAAGAAAATGGGACGTATGTGTTTGTGTTTGTTTATATTTGGTTCCTTTGGTGATATTATTGTTTGACTTATAATAAAAACACAGAGTAATAAATTAGGAAGACGATAATAAATGGATGACGCTTTAAATGTGCAAACATGAATTGACCATAATTGGATGGTGTACAGAACAATTTGACGTAAAGTTAAATGTGTCACTCAAAGGCCTCGTTCTCCCCTGCAATCGTTTTAAAGCAATTCTCTCGAGGTTTTACCATGCTATTAAAATATTTGGAAACAATGCCATCACATGTGTAGCCTGCTGGTATTCGTTCAAAAGGCTTCTGGGTTTATTTTTTTTTTCTGTTGTTGAATTGGTCGTTGGAAGAGTAGAAGTTTATTTCGGTAAAATTCTCCAGTTTTTATTGAAGTGGGTGTTTGTGTCAGTGCCAATTATGCTTTGTTATGTGTGTGTGTATAGAGAGAGTATATATGTAATACAATGTGTAGAAGTGTGTATGTTTAATATTAGAAGATTTGTATTTGTGTAGAGTGTATGTGTATGTTAAGGTGTATTAACAACCAATGAGATGTGCATGTTTGTGTATGGGGGAATGTGGTTTTTGTGTGGGGTTTTTTATGTAGAGGTATATGTGTAAGGTGTATGTGTGTATAGGGTGTATATATGTTTGCTAGCCTCCCAAGCAGGGACCCAGGTTCGATCCTAGAGGTGAAACTATGGGCAAGTTTCTTGTATATTGCCTCTGTTTACCCAGCAGTAATTGGGGAACCTGGAAGTTGAAATCGATTTGCGGATCGTAGTCAGGGGTAATGATTAGCCTACGGCTGGCAGAGTTGTCCGGTCTTCTCGGACTATTCTTCACTATTCCCCAACATATAGCAAGTACCCAAGGAGTTCAAGAATTCAACAATCGAGATCTAGTTAAACCCCGGTGGAACTCCGCATCAGGTTGATATAGTTGCAAATCTCCAATGGGGCCCAATGGCGGAATAGGCGGAAAGGGTACAGCCAACATGGGAACCCAACGACTACTCGGTGGATTAAGAAATGAAAAAATGGATAAGCTACAAGGCGAATCCCAGCAAGGTAAACTATCAACAGTCCGTACCCAGCTTTTCCCAGTTATTGCGAGCTACCTGCACCACTAGATCAGTAAAGGAGAAAACAGATGTGTGGTTGAACCCACCATTCCTGCCTCACCGTATAAATCAGCATAGCCATCATTCATTTCATCATACTTTTACCATCATCATCAGAACCCATAAACCCCAAAAAGTCCTGTAACTGAAAAGACGAGTGGCGACAGGGGCGAGCAGATATGACTGCCGGGAGTCTCTATTAACAACTCTGCACATGGAAGGCATAGATATGATAGTCGTTTATGCACTGGGATCCTAGAAGCAGTGCAATCCGAACCACTGTCTGTGCGACTGGGCAGACCTTTTCCAGGAGCCATTAGGGCTCACCTCATGGAGAGGGGCTAGATAAAATGCAAAACATAGCCTGTCTAAAAAAAACAACCTGACTGGGCAACCGCACCCAGCAAAGGTCATTCTTATGCAGTCAAGGAGCACAATCAAATTTGATCACAGATCCAAAGCAAAAACAAATTAGACAACCTCTTATGAATTCATGCATGGAATGTCAGGACCCTTCCTGGATACTGGCACAAATGAGCGTCCTCAAAGAAGAACCTCCTTGTGGCAAAAGAGCTGGATGACATTGCATCGACACAGTAACCTTTAGTCTTTGGTGAGTCCCAACTCCCAGACGAGGGTGAACTCACAGAACAGGCTATACCTTCTTCTACTGGAAAGGGATAAGCCTGCTGCGGAGAAACCACGACTACTGGAGTTGGGTTTGCCATCTGCCAACGCATCCCTGCAGACTAAGTAGAAGTGCCTCTTGGGATCAAAAAGAGCACCTCATGACGATCCGAGTCCCGCTAGATCACTCCAAGTCATGCCATTTTCATCCAGTGCACACAACACTGGATGCAGAGGATGATATCAAGGGAGGCATTTTTACGCCGACGCCTCGACGAATCACGAACCTTTACCCCCAGAGAATAAAGGGTTGTGCTCCTTGGCGGCTTCCAATGCCAGGATTGGCAGAGATGCGCGACATTTGGCAGGGAACCGTAGGGAGGAAATGGACTGAGCAATTATGTTAACGACCTACTATTCCTCCTCAGCAAAGGGTGCCGCGCACACAGCTTCCACTATCACCAATACTTTGTTTGGGGCAGGCCGATGAATTCAACGGTTTGTGGCAGCACCAGTCGAACACTGGCATCTCATTAACTACACCATTGTCGCAGAGAAAGATCGCCGAGATGTCCTCATCCGTGCCATGCGCCCAAGCAAGACCCACTGCGACACTGATTAATTATCGGCTCATCAAACCAGCTCTCATTCACGTTGCCCCCAAACGGCGGTAGCAAGCCTCCAGAGGTTTAACATTAAGTGTTGAAGATCAGTGATAACATACATGCACGCGCCCTCAATGAATTTGAAAGCCTGAACATAGTGTCAGCTTATTGGAGGCATAAGTACATGTCAACAATCAAACACATCTCATCATAGTAGACAATGAATTAACTAGTGACTGTGTTTACAGTGTCTACTGGCTTCAAATTCATCAGCAAGCTACCGTATCTATGAACAACTGTATTTACCCGATTAAGAAAAGTAGACTGCCAAGCAGCTTCTTTACAATAACCCAACGAATAGTAAACTTAATGCTGGCGGGCAAGTGAAAAGGTATAAGGATAGTCTTAAGACAAACCTGAAAAAGCGCCAAATCGACCCCTCACCTGGGAGACGATTACTCACACCATAACGTTTTGGAGGAGCACCACGCGAGTGTCAATACTTTCGAGTTAAGCCTGACAGCATACCAGGGCAGACAAGCGCCAACCGGAAAGACGTTGCCGCCGTCCTCCTGCACTGGTGTGGCCCCTCCACCGTGCAACATCTGTGAACGATGCTGCCAGTCCCGTATCGGCTTTTCTGAGTCACCTCGGGGGTCACCAACGAAGGTGAAATCCTTAATAGCTCATTTTCGTCCCCGCTATCATAGCTGGATGATCGTCATACTGCCGATTCTGAGTGACAGCAAAGTAGTAGAAGTAGTAGTAATATGTGTGTATGTGTGTTGGGGTGTGTGTGTATGTGAGTGTGTAAAGGGGATGTGTATGTATTTTTGTAGGAGTGTACGTTTGTGTTTGTGTGTGAGAGAGAGAGAGAGAGAATAGGTTAGGTTAGGTTTTAATATGCGTCCTGGGAAGGCCGTTCCTGTTGTCATATTAATGGTTAATGGTTAATATTTTTCATGTGATCAAAAAGAATGATTTATTATTATTATTATTATTATTATTATTATTATTATTATTATTATTATTATTATTATTATTATTATTATAAACACACGCACACGTCTACCGTACAATTTTGATCATGGTGGGACCGATGATACTGGGATCGCGTCAGCTGTACAATACCACAGTTGCTTCAGGGAGACCGACAACACTTGCTGATCGTCACACCTGGTGGCAACTGCAGCTGTCTCTGACTCTCTATTTTTCACAAACCACGTTAAACCAACAAAAACCTCATAATTGTTTTAGAGTTAATATTTGAGGTTTAGCTATTAAGGAGAAGGAATAAGACTCGCCTGTTAAGGAGGAGAAGGAAGGTCAGGAGGCAGCAGCCAATGAGACAGGTCGATCGTACATGACCCCTGGAGCGTGGTCGACCCCACCACAACCTGTAAGGGAGGAACCTGTTAAATGCATATGCAGGTAAACAAATGCATCGAACGTTGCACATAAATATAAAATACCAATAGTCAGCAAGCTATTCTTTAGTAATGTATAATGGTTGCTACTCGTGTTCGAGAATGGCCAACCCTAGGGCCACCTAGGTGTGACTTGGTTTCAAGAGAGAAACTGTCGCCTACACAACAATCACAAGTGTTCACGATCTGTATGACCTACTGTAGTGTAGAGGAATAATCCAAGAATACAGGACAGCTCACCAACTGTATTGGCTCACCATTATCCCGGAACACATCCACAAATCGATTAACATCCAGGTTCCCAGTTCCTCTGGGCAGACAGAGGCCAATACAACACTAGTGGACAGCGAACCTTCCAGCTCCAAGTTCCCGGAATCAAGTCACCCCTACTCCGTGACTACACCCATTTTGTAGTCCTCATTTAAACAGTAACTCTTTAAAATTATAAATCACTGAAATATTTTTTAAATAAGTTTTGAAATCGGATTACACTTTAAATTGGGTATATTATTCACGGTGAAAATAAGGAAATACGAACAGAGATGAAATTGGGGACTGGTAACAGCTTAAAATAAACAGATTCCGATTGCATGGAATTATCATGAAGGGGTTCAGCACGAATCCTTATCCGAAGACCCATCCCCTCCCTTCCCTTTCCCTCATTCCTTCACTCATTCACTTTCCTCCTTCCCCCAACCTCAGTGATCCTCATACGGGACATTTTCCCTCTCTCTCTCTCTCTCTCTCTCTCTCTCAGCAATGGAGGTCGAGTAAATCTTGACTGGCGATTGTGCAATATGCTCATATTTCATGACTAACCGAAGTCTTGTGAAATACTGAAGATAATGTATTTATGTCTCAGTCCAGGTAATGCATTGCTTTTAAATTCAAATAGCACAAAGAAAGTTATTTTATTAGTTTGTATTAAATTAGTACAAGAAAGCTGTTGCATTTGTTTAATTATCACATGAGTGTAAAGGTTTAATAAAATAAAGTGAATTAGTTGACCACAATTAACAAACAAATTGCCATAAAATTCTAGATTGAATGAAAACTTCCTAACAAGATACATAGATTTTAGATGGTAATGTAATAATTTTTTTTTCATTTCCCGGTAAATTAATGATTATGAATAATGGTTAGCATAATGAGTTGGCAATGAATGGTTGTCAAGGGCAGCTGGTGTCAACGGCCGTCTTGACAGATATTGCAAGTCAATATCAGTCCCATTCATTGACAACTGGGACAACTTTTACGGCAGAAGGGACCTTTATGCTAGGGATGGGGTGCATCTGTCTGGGGTTGGGGTGGCAAACCTGGCTGGCTCTCTCGAGAGGGTAGTTCAAAAGATGTCGAAGTCTTTAAACTGCTAGGAGAACATATGAGGACGGGGGTGGAGGAGACTGCAGTGGAAGCAGGTAAACAAAGTGAAAGGTTACAGGGAACGAGTGCTAGGAATGATGACAAAACTAAATAAGGCAGGGAGTTAAAACCTAAACGCGACAAAGAGAGGACTTGAAACACGACTAACTTAAATGTCTACTATGCAAACAGTAGAAGTATGAGAAACAAAATGGATGAAATCAGGGCGTTAGTAGGTACCGAAAAAATCGATATAATAGCATTCACCGAAACATGGATAAACTTAGACTCACGTGAGTTACCTGTCGAATACCAAATTGCAGGTTACAAATTATTCCATGCCGATAGGCAGATTAGGAAAGGAAGCAGAGTAGCAATCTATGTCAGGGATAATCTGAAGTGTGAAATAAATAAGAAAATAAAAACTGAACTGAAAACAGAAACAATTTGGATAGAATTAATCGATAAAAGAGAAAAAATAATCACAGGAGTAATATATAGACCTCCTAATCTTGATATAGTTAATGAACGACTTATTTGGTATGAAATGCACAGGGCTTCTAGATATAACAAAGTCTGTATAGTAGGCGACTTTAACTTTAGCCAAATAGATTGGCTCGATCTTACAGATTTTCTTGAAACAGTTCAAGGCTGTTTCCTAAGTCAACATATAACCGAACCCACCCGGGGTAATAATATACTCGATTTAGTTCTGTCAAACAGAGAAAACCTCTTTAGTAATGTTGAGGTAGGGAACGAACTTGCCAACAGCTATCACAAAGAAATAAGATTTCAATTAGAATTTAATGGCAGACGCAGGGAAAATTCCATTAAAGTTCCAGATTTCAGAAGGGCAAACATTGATAGGTTGAAAAGGCAGCTGACAGAAGGGGTATCACGTTTGGGAATGGATTACATGACCTCACGTGAGGTGACCTCACACAATGTACCCACAGAGGGCGAGCTCACTTTTCCTGGAGACACGACAACGATATCCTCACAAAATATGACGGTTGAGGATGATCTGATCACGAGATCTGAGGTTGACGAGTTCCACAACAATTTAAATAATGAGATACTAAAGGCACAAAGGCAGAACATACCATACAGACAACTCAGATCAGACAACAATGACCCTAAATGGATAAACAATTATTTAAATAATATTACTGGACAAAGGAAGGCTATAGGTAGGAGATTAAATCGTAGTGAAGTTTACCTCCAAGATTATTATAAGGTATTGGCCAGAAGGGTTAAGATCGAGATAAGAAAAGTAAAGAAGAATAATGAACTGAAGGTAGCAAGGGAGGCGAAGTCAAACCCCAAGGGATTCTTTCAATTGTATCAAACTAAAACACGAGAAAATATTGGACCAATACAGTCAGATACCGGCGAACTAACTGATAACGACGGAGAAATGAGCAATAAACTGAATAAATATTTTTCAGCAGTTTTCACCACAGAAAATGTTAACGTTATACCCGAAGCACTGACTACATACAGAGATAGTGAGGAATAGATTAAGCGAGATAGTAGTAAGCAAATATACAAGCTAAGGCCTAATATGTCACTGGTCCCGATGAGATATTTGCCAGAGTATTAAAGAAATGTAAGGAAGAGCTTAGTATGCCCTTAGCAAAAATTTTTAATATGTCCTTAGCAACTGGTGTAGTATCAGAATCCTGGAGGAAAGCGAATGTAATACCGATTTTCAAGAAGGGAGATAGATCACTACCCTCTAACTACCGTCCAATCAGCTTAACATTAATTGAAGGCAAATTACTGGAAGCAATAATTTCAAACTATTCGAAATCACATGGAGAAACATAAGTTGATCAATGATTCCCAACATGGCTTCACAAGCGGACGTTCATGTTTAAGTAATCTACAGGGTATTAACATTCTTTTCAGCTGTTTTCGAATCAGTGGGCGAGGGGCACGACTATGATGTGGCATATTTTGACTTTAGCAAAGCCTTCGACAGAGTCCCCCACGAAAGATTAATAAGAAAAGTGGAGGCCCATGGCATTGGAGGAGATATTCTAAAATGGATATGTGCGTGGTTACAGGACAGAAAACAGCGAGTGAGCCTTAACGGCACTAATTCCGATTGGAGTAACGTCACAAGTGGAGTACCCCAAGGCTCAGTACATGTACCATTACTATTTATTATATACATAAACAACATAGATATCAGCGTAGACAGCAACATAAGTAAAATTGTTGATGACACTAAAATAGGGCGTGTAATTAAATCTGACGAGGACTCCGCAAAACTACAGGAACGTTATGATCTAAACAAATTTTTCGAATGGTCTGAAAAATGGCAGATGAAATTCAATAAGAACATAAGAATGTAGGAAACTGCAGCGGGCCTATTGGCCCATATTAGGCAGTCCTGTTTACACCCAACCCCTATTGCTCATATAAGCATCCAACCTATGTTTGAAGCTATTCAGCGTATTCGAGTTAATGATGATATTTGGTAACATGTTCTATTCATCCACTACTCTGTTTCCAAACCAGTGTTTACCTATTTCGCGCCTAAATCTAAATTTGTCTCACTTAAAAACCATTGTTACGAGTTCGCTCCTGGTTGGATAGTTTGAGTACTTTTCAAATGTCCCCTTTATTTAGCCCTGACTTCCATTTATACACCTCTATCAGGTCGCCCCTCGCTCTACGTCTCTCGAGGGAGTGCAAATTAAGATGCTTTAACCTGTCTCTATACTCAAGGTTCCTAATGCCCGGGATTAGTCTTGTCATTCTCCTCTGAATTCTATCCAAGGATTCTATATCCATTTTGTAATACTGTGAACAGAACTGAACTGCATAATCCAGGTGTTGTCTCACAAGCGCAAGATACAGTTTTAGGATGACCTCGCTAGTCTTGTAACTAACAATCCTTTGTATGAACCCAAGTATTTTATTAGCCTTGTTACGAGCAAAAACACATTGTTTACTTGCCTTAAGGTTCCTACTTATCATTACTCCTAAATCTCTCTTACAGTCGGATTTCTCTATGGCATCGTTGTTCATCTGGTATCTGGTTTCCCTGTTTACATCTCCTATACTGAGCACTTTATATTTGTCCACGTTGAATTTCATCTGCCGTTTTTCAGACCATTCGAAGAATTTGTTTAGATCTTCCTGTAGTTTTGCGGAGTCCTCGTCAGATTTAATAACACGTCCTATTTTAGTGTCATCAGCAAATTTACTTATGTAGCTGTCTATGCCGATATCTATGTCGTTTATGTATATAATAAATAATAATGGTCCAAGTACTGAGCCTTGGGGAACTCCACTTGTGACGTTGCTCCAATGGGACTTAGTGCCGTTAATGCTCACTCGCTGTTTCCTGTCCTGTAACCACGCCCTAATCCATTTAAGGATATTACCTTTGATGCCATGTGCTTCTACCTTCCTAATTAGCCTTTCGTGGGGGACTCTGTCGAAGGCTTTGCTAAAGTCGAGATATACCACATCATAATTGTGCCCTTCGTCCACCGATTCGAAAACTGATGAAAAGAATGTTAATAGATTAGTTATACATGAAAGCCCGCTTGTGAAGCCATGTTGGGAATCATTGATCAACTTGTGCTTCTCCAGGTGGTTTCGAATAGAGTTTGAAATGATTGATTCAAGTAATTTGACTACTATTGATGTTAGGCTGATTGGGAGGTAGTTAAAGGATAGTGATCTATCCCCCTTCTTGAAAATCGGTATTACATTCGCTATCCTCCAGGATTCTGGTACTCCACCTGTATTTAAGGACATGTTAAACAACTTTGCTAAGGGCATACTAAGCTCTTCCTTACATTCCTTTAATACTCTGGCAAATATCTCATCGGGACCAGGTGACTTATTAGGCTTTAGTTTATCTATTTGCTTACTAACATCGCTACTAGTCACTGCTATCTCGCTTAATTTGTTTTCTTCACTATCTCTGAATAGAGTCGGTGCCTCGGGTATCATGTTTACATTTTCGGCGGTGAAAACTGTTGAAAAATATTTATTCAATGTGGTCGAATGTAAAGTACTTAGTCTAGGTCCTCTCTCTCTCTCTCTCTCTCTCTATTACATATATATATATATATATATATATATATATATATATATATGCTGATAACCAAGGAAAGAAGAAACACGAAGTTCCTAAGCGCTTTCGTGTAATTCAGGTGAGAAGGTTGGGTCACCTTACCTCTGACCTGACTACTGACCGTTGCGGTGCTTTTTAAAGATTAGTAGGGTCATTACCTAATACCTGACCATTGTGGACTTGATCTCACCCTCCTCTGTATATATACACCTTGTTTTGTAGTTTTCCTTAGTCTGTACTCACCCCTGTAGATGTGAATTACACGAAAGCGCTTGGGAACTTCGTGTTTTCTTCTTTCCTTGTGGTTATCAGCATATACCTGGATCACGCGCAACTACAGTGATTTACTTGCCTATATATATATATTTATATATATATATATATACGATTGTTTAAATTTTTTTAGATAATTATGTGGGCTTTATGTGTGTGTGTGTGTGTGTGTGTGTGTGTATGTTGGGGGGGGGGAGGCTTCTGCAAGTGTCTGTGTGAGAGTAGGTTTGCGTGTACCTCTGTAGCGGTTCATGGTCGTTTGCGGTGTGAGCCAGCCAGCACCCAGTAACTTCACCACCACCTGACTGTCTTCCTCGGGTCTTCCTTCAGACCGTTAGCTGTCTACGCCCTAGAGCCACTGTCGACAGTCAGCTGGATGGAGGTGAGCTTACCAGGCGATATTGACTGCTCGCACTGGTGCTGTCTACTCCTAGATCGCGCAGCCATCGAAATGAAGTTTGGCTCCTATTAGACACTATCCATCTCCCATCCTGTCCATTTATCTGTCTCCTTCTCATCTTCCATCTCTTTCCTCTTGTTCCTAATCCATGTATACCATTCTTGTCACCCTCTCACCAACTTTTCCTCTGTTCTATTGATGCTCCCACCAATTTCTTCCGACACCACTACTCCTCTTTGATCACCAATGTACTTTTCCACTAAACCTTTTCCATCATCCCCTTCATCCTCTCTCTCTCTCTTATGTTGAAAAGAACCCTTCATCTGGTACTGTATGTCCACCCCGCCGGCTAAATTGGCACCGGCGCGAGTAAGGAAGGCAGCCAAGAACATAGAAAAGAGAGTTGGTGCCAGTACACACCCTTGTTTTACCCATGTTTCAATGGGGAAGAACTCAGACTGGGTGCCAGTGTGCAGGACACTGCCGTTCATACCATGGTGGAGTTGCCTCCCAATGGCAAAGAATTTTGGTGGGCAGCGAAAACGGCTGAAGGTCCGCAAGAGGGCTTCACTGTTGACCGAGTCGAGGGCCTTGATTAGGTCGATGAAGGTCATGTACAGGTCACGACTCTCTTCTATGCACTTTCCTGTATCTGGCGGACAACAAAGACCATATCAGTGGTGCCGCACGATGGTCTAAAGCCTCAATGAGATTCTTGGAGGAAGTTTTCCGCCTCATGAAGAAGTCTGTTTAGGACGAGTCAGGTGTATAATCTTGCCAGCTACGAACAGCAGCGAGATCCCTCGTAGTTGCCACAGTCTAACCGATCTCCCTTGTTCTTATAAATATTGACAACGGACGCGTTTTTAAGAGCTTGGGGATTTACTCCTTTCCCCATATATTTTCCGGGAGAGAGTGGTGACGGCTGGTAAGCAGATATCCTCCTGCTGGGATTCCATCAGGCCCTGAGGCTTTGTTATTTTTTCATATGTTTGATGGCAGTAGCTACCTCATCCAGGGATCGACGATAGCTGAGGTTGGGCCAGCTTTGGATGCTGAGGAACCTGCTGGGTAGTCAGGACATTTACATCGGTGTTTTGATTGAGCAATAAATGGTAGTGCTCTTTCCAGCGCTGAAGGATGCCTTCTTCGTTTAATTAGGAAGTTACCGTCAGATGGGCAGAGGGTGGCTGTGTTTGGCCCATAAAATTTTTCAGTGGAATTGAAAATTAGTGCATCTTGTGTTGACTTGCAAGTTTTTCCGTTTCTCATGCTTTATTTTTAACCCAGTCGTTCTTTAGATTATTTAGTTCGCGCTGAGCCGCTGCTTTCTTCGTGCAGAAGGTATCAGATTTTGGTTCTTGAATGAGGGTTGTTTTGCCAGTCAGGTAAAGCAGCACGTTTATCATCGGTGAGTACATTGATTTTCGGGTCGTTTTCATCAAACCAGTCCTGGTATATTCTTTCGATCTGGCCGAGGATCCATCTGCAGGTTTTTGTCATGACAGTGTCGAGAATACCCCATTCGGCAATTGGATTTGGGTTGCTTGTTGTCGTGTTGTTTATCAGTCCATGTTCGAGCTGCTCTCTGAAGGCATTTGGATCCTCCAAATATTTAGTGTTAAAACCTCTTCTGGAGGAGTTTTGCCTTCGCTGTTTTGGGGCGACGTGAGGTGAGAGCTTGGCTCTTACGAGCCGATGATTACTGTCGCAGTGGTCTGAGCCACCCATGGCTCTGGTGATGAGGACATCTCGGCGATCAGTTTCTCTCACAATAGTGTAGTCAATGAACCCTTGAACTTTTCGGCTTGCCTAAACAAGGTATTGGTGATAGTGAGGTTGTGTGCAGCACACTTACTGAGGAGGATGGAGGCCGTTGGGGTTATACTTGCTTAGACCATTTCTCCCTATGATTCCCTGCCTGTTAGCATTTCTGCCAACTCTGGCAATGAAGTCACCAAGGAACACAACCTTATCTTCTCTGAGGATAGAGGTTAGCACTCTGTCAAGGTCGGTATAAAAGGCCTCCTTGATGTCATCCTTTGCATCCAATGTTGGGGCGTATGCACTGATGAAAGCATGACGTGAGTGATTCAGTTGGGCTCGGAGCGTCATAAGCGCTCGTTGATCCCAAAGGCATTTCAGTTAGCCTCTGTAGGATGTTTTGGCATATGACAAAGCCAACTCCACAAATGCAGTTTCTCTCCGTAGCGAGCTTACCCTTCCAAAAGAAGGTATAGCCGGGACTCACTAATAGCTGCTATGTCAATTTTATACTTAGCCAGCTCACACACACACACACACACACACACACACACACACACACACACAGACACACACACACACACACACACACGAAAACAATTGTTAACTTAAGCACAGTTACATAAATTGTAAGCGTAGACAAAGTTGTTTAGAAAATTTTCCAGTGTTTGTAAGAGGAGAAGAAGGCTGTTACAAGGTAGTGTTTCCTTGTCCCGGTCATTACACTTATAATAATAATAATAATAATAATAATTATAATAATAATGATGATGATGATGATGATGATATTAATAATAATAATAATAATAATAATAATAATAATAATTACTACCATTGTTATTCTTATTAATATTTGCCTTACCTTTTGACTGACAATGTCATCGTCCTTGTAGGTAAAGGTAGACTGGGGTGAGTTCCTCCTACCAGATGACGCTTATGTTGTCTTCTTTTCTCTCTACTGTCATTAGTTCTCCACAGATAACGTCAAAGTTCTACTTTAATACCGTTGCTGCTTATTGGTCATTAGCAGAAGAAGTCATTGTTTTTTTCCTCTTGACACTGAAGATCAATAGTTACTGACAGATGATATCACAGCATCATTTTTTGACAGCCGAGCGTCACTGATTAACAAATGGCGTCAGAATCCTGTTTCCGTAATGGCAATTGTCATTGGTTACAGGTGCATGACGTCACTTGTCATTGATTGTTGACTCTTTACGTCACGGCAGCACTTAGGAACTTAACCGTTCATCATAGTTCATTGTTTAGTACTGTATACAGTAAGTCAAGCCGGAAGGTGTTAACGATCATCTGAGGAAAAGAAAAAGTACTTAATAAATATACTGGGACATTTTTCTCTTAACACAAACTCTCTCTCTCTCTCTCTCTCTCTCTCTCTCTCTCGCCATTGTCCGCGTCATCTTTCACTCAACATTCACCTCTTACTCTAACGCTGAGGTACTGTACACATAGACTCCAGGCACCGTGGATTAATACCCAAGAAGTAGTTCTCTTCTACGGAAAAATAATATTGAAACGTAAGAGTGAAAATAAGTCTGGGAGGACAAATATAATTTGCTAAACTATTTATTTGTGAAGACTCTTCTGTTTGGGGAGGAAATAAAAATTGCCTTTTTTGTTAAGTTATGAAAGATCATTTTTATCTCAGTATCGTTCTTGATCACTTTGAGTACGACTCCAAGCTCTTGAGTAAGATACTAAGCCACTGAATACATTTAATTAGCCCAACGAGTAAGATATCGTAACCCCTGAAAATGATTACTTAACCCATTGAACATGATGGGTTAAAGGTCTTAACCCTTTCATTACAATGATTTAACCCCTTGAATATAATGACTTAACCCCCTTTATTATAATGACTTAACCTTTACCCTCTTGAATTTGATGACTCCGTATCGGTTATTGGAATAATTCTGCACCTCCTCTGGGCGAAAGAATGAAAAACACTCAATTAAAATCGTTACAATACGGGATATAACACTACACTTGGATACGCTATGTAACGCGCCACTGTTTTTGTTTTTCTTGTTTCACAAAACACTGACGTCTTGGTATGTAGACTGATATGTATCGTCACCACCGTAGCTGCCACCTTTATGAACCGGCTGGTTAATTCAAAGTTAACCAGGTTGGTACATTTATAATATATTGGGTCTTAGTAACGAAGCCCAATTGAAGTTTCTTCTTTTATTAAAAAGTATTGTTTGTATAATTCCTGAGTGTAGATCAACCGTAAATTCCACTATTTATGAGCGTGAAGAGAGAGGACGGCGGCTATGTAAATAGACCGTGTAATCAACGTCCGTTCGATGTAAGTGTATGAGTCTGACTAGCGTGGCTGCCGGCTTATTCTGAGCTGTCCCTATGTGCTGACATACAGTCAATGGGCCGCACCCAAGGAGGCCACCAATCATGTGATACTAGCATGACAACTCGTAGCCAGTGGAAAGTTACAGGGGATGAATTTGAATATAAATCAAATGTAAGGAACCCATTTATATAATACTTCTGTTGATGAGACAGGGGCCATTACAATAACTGAATATTCTAAAGCACAATGCCAATTACAGTACATAAATATATCGATAAATTTTATCATTGTACTGTGTGGGAGAGCTGTCAGCAAGGAAACTATAACACCGAGTTTAATAGGAGATAAATAATAAGAGAGGAAGGGAGAGGGTTTGTTAGGGTGAGGCTAATACTGTAGAAGGGCAGGAATGAGGTAGTGTTTTAGGAGAGAGGAAGGGAGATGGAGGTGGAGAGTGTGGGTAGTAAATATGATAAGGATATGAATAATTGGAGTGTTGCACGTATAGCATTTCTGTGAATAAGTAAAGGTTAAAGGATGATGGTCTTAAGCCAGCATGTGTAAACCTACAACAAAAGTACCGCTCAACCCTGAGCGTCAGTCACGTGGGCCTGGCGTCACGTACACACAGGTTAAGGTAGCACAGGTAAATCTCCCCCTCTGCTCTAGGCATCTATGAATCTGTTTTTTTTTAAGAAGCTAATATTTATATTGTTATACTACTGGTACTGACTTACACTCGATGTCAATCGTATATTGCTTCTTTTATGAGGATCAAAACCGGAGACCAATGTATTATCAACCCCACTACTTTAACCACTTCGCCACCATTAACAGTAAGTGATGGGCTGGCTGAGAGTTGTGAAAGAAATATGTGATTATGGATGAGAAGTGATTTTATGAGTTCACTATTGTTGATAGTGAAAGAGAATGATAGCAAGATAAGAGCGTGATGAAGGTGGAAACGGAAGTGTTAAAGGTGCTTATAAGGTGACGGAGCGAGGGTGACTGCATAAGGGTGACGAGGCAAGGTGTGACAAGGTGAAGGTTACGGCATATGGGGTAACGGAGAGGGTGACGGAGCAAGGTGTGACAGTTTATTTAATCATAAGAACACAAATACAGAGATGATTAAAAATCATAATATTAACATGGCTGAGCCAGTTGAGAGCCTGGGCTCTCTTGTAGGCACCTGATATATACTGTATATACATTTATCTTCAGGCAATATTATGTAATATTTAGTATCATCTGGAATAGTACACATATTATGCTGGTAATAAGAACATATCAGAATGTTACCACGGTTATCACTTCGATATATTTTAATTTTTTTTCATTTATATTATAAGTATATACATAACTTACAGTGGAATTGAAAAACATAAAAATGGGTACAACATGGGTTTATTTAACTGGAACAAGAAGACAGAGCTGTCAGGATTATGTCTAGTTGGCAAATATATTTATTGCAATGTTAATTTCTATCTATCCGTATGATAATTTCTGATAAAACGGTTTTGGTGGTACTATAAAAACAGGTACAGTATATAAATTGGGTATGACAAAAAATATTAATACCTAGACAATAGATATTTTTTAAGAGATGATTTAAAGGAAGGGAGCATAGTCTTTGCTCGGGTGGGTGGGGGTAAGTTGTTCCACACCTTCACACCGTGATATTTTATGGAGGTCTGGGACTGAGAGGAGCGCATGGGGGGGTGGTGGGGGTGGGGGTGGTCTTAGTAGCTCTTGGTGCCTTAAGTTGTATCTCTCATTATTCCGGAACTGGAAATAATTGTTGTCAAGCAAGTGATTGACAGATTTGTAAACAAATAAAGCACATCAGTAGGTGTTAATAAACTCGAATTTTAACATTTTCAATTTAGCAAATTGTTTGTTTGTGTGATAATATTTTTCAAGTAGGACATTGTCCGCACAGCTCTCTTTTGTGTGGTAACCAGGGATTGTGTTTTTGAAGAGCCAGAGGCCCCCCATAGTGTGTGACAGTGTATCAGGTGTTGGTAGACAAGATCATAATAGATTTCTTTCATTGCTGTGAGAGTGAGTGACTGTCGAGTGTGATACTTGATACCGCACTGTTTATTGACTTTACTGTGAATGGCTTGTATGCGGTTTCTCCAGCTAAGTTTCTCATCAACAATAACCCCAAGGAATTTAGTGTTTTATGAAAGATCGCGTAGTTGATTTTATTCGAGATTTAAGGCCAGTTTATTATGTATTACCCATGTCCTGACTTTAGTCAATTCAGTGTTCATAGTTCTCATCAAGGAATGGAAGTCGAGTTGCTGGCACAGATATTACTATCGTCTACAAATAAGTTACATTTTATGAGTCTGCTGGTGTGGACTATATCGTTTATGTACAACAAAAACAGTACTGGACCGAGAATGGAACCTTGAGGGACGCCATACAAGATTGGTGAGAAGACAGATTGACGATTATTATAGCAGACATACTGCTTCCTGTTAAGACAGATACGAGGTAAACCAGTTGTGGGATAGGCCCCTAACACCATAATGTTCAAGCTTTCAAAGGGGGATGGTATGTCGACAGAATCGAAGGCTTTAGAGAGGTCCAAGAATATACTGACTGTGAACTGACTGCCATCAAAGGAGTTTAAGATGTCATTAGTAAAGGATAGCAGAACACTCTCAGTCGACCTTCTAGCTCTAAATCTAAACTGAGAGTCTGTAAGGATGTTATTGACACTGCAGAACGAATTTAGTCTACTACGTGTTAGCTTCTCTAGTATCTTACTTAAGGCTGGAAGGACTGATATAGGGCGGTAATTCTCGAAAAGACCTTAGTTTCCAGATTATTTATATGCCAGGTGAACTTTAGCAATTTTCAGTTTATCCGAAAAGACACCACTAGTGAAGGAGGAGTTACAAATGTGTCGGAAAACAGGTATTAATAAGTGGGCTACTTTCTTTATGATGCTTCGCGTGCTGCTGCATGTTGGACATTTTTATGATGGTCGGTAATTCATTTTCTGTGACAGGGGATAAGAACAGCTCATTTTGCTGTCTGTTTTGCATGTAGGGTCTAAATTCCTAACGGTGATTGTGGATGCTCTCTTCTAGATTTTTGCCAACATTAATAAAATAATCATTGAAGTGATTGGCAATGAGGGAGGGTTCCGTTACAACTGATGCTGATGCTGATTGGAGTTTATTTGTATAATAGCTACACCTGCCATTTCTAACTGCTTGAGTTACTCTATTTCTGATATTTCGGCAAGCATCACCGAAAGTTAAGGGTCTTTTTGCAAATTTCCTTTGGAATTTGTGCTTTTCTTTTATCCTTGCTTTGATTTCCCTTGTGATATTGGGTTTAGAAATGGATACAGTTTTCACTGACTTGGTCTTGAGGGGGAAGCATTTATCAAAGCAGGCATTGAAGATGCAAGAGAAGTTGCAGCTGTTCACGTTAGGGTTGTCGGAGGCATAGACAAGATCCCACTTAACATTTATTAAGTTGTTTTCAAAAAGGATCATGTTGTCGGCGCAGTAGTCTCTGTATTTTATTGGGACTCTACTAGCTTTTCAAATCTTGTGACTGCTTTATATATGGCAAAAACTGGGAAGTGATCCGAGATATTATTATAAATAATTCCACTTGCTAGATTGGTAGGAGTATTGGTAGTCCAGATATGATCTATCACAGTGGTAGAGGTGGCAGTTACTCTAGTGGGTTTGGTTATAGTGTTGAGGAAGAGTTTAGAATGACAGGTAGCTAGAAGGCCTAATACTGAGGTGTCGGTTTCTGATTTCAATAGATCAAGGGTGAAATATCCTGTAATGTAGCAAAGTTTTCTCTCTGAACTTATGATAGAGATAAGCTCCAAAAATTTATCAAGAAAGTTCCTTACATTAGTGTAGGGTCTTCTGTAGATTACTCCTACTAGGATATTCCGTGTGTTGTTACGTAATTCAGTGAAAACACTCTCCATGAA